TGAGTGGCTAAGGTGGGAGGATTGCTTGAGGTCAAGGCTGCAGTTTGCTGTGATCGTGCCACTGCACTCCAGCCTGGGCTTTGGAATGAGACCCTGTCTCAGATGAAAACCAAAGTAACTAATAATCACATGAAAAAATGCTCAGCCCCATTAGTTGTTTTGTTTTATTTTTATTATTATGTTGTTTAGAGACAAGGTCTAGCTCTGCCACCCAGGCTGGCGTACAGTGGTGCTATCTCGGCTTACTGCAGCCTCCATCTTCCGGGCTCAAGCCATCCTCCTACCTCAGCCTCCCGAGTATTTGGGACTACAGGCATGTGCCACCATGCCCAGTTCATTTTTGTATTTTTTGTAGAGACACTGTTTAGCCATGTTGCCCAGGTTGTATTAAACTCCTTAGCTCTAGCAATCTGCCTGCCTTGGTCTCCCATAGCACTGGGATTGCAGGCCTGAGCCACTGTATCCAGCCTACTTATTTTAGAAATGGTTATTAAAACCACGATGAGATACCACTGTATAGCCACTGGAACAACTGTAATGAAAAAGAGACAACAGTAGGTGTTGGTGAGGATTTGGAGAACCTGAAGCCTTCATTTTCTTACTGGAAATGTAAAATTGTAGAGCCACTTAGGAAAACAATTTGGCAATTCCTTAAAAAGTTAAACAAACGTACCAGAGAACCTAGAAATTACATTCCGAAGTATTTACCTAAGAGAAAGGAAAGCACATGTTTGTACAAAGACTTATACGTGAATGTTCATAGCAACTTCGTTTGTAATACGCAAAAACAGCAAAATCCAAATGTTCATCAATGGATGAATGGATAAACAAAGTGTGTTATATCCACATGATTGGATACTACTCAGCAATTTAAAAAGGATGAATATTGATACAACAAATGAGTACATTTCAAGATAAATATGCTGAGTAAAGGAGATCAGATACAAAAGTGTATGTAATATGTGACTCCACTTAACACAAAAGTTTACAAAATACAAACTAATTCATAATGACAGCATATCAGTTGTTGCAGGGATATTGGGTATAGGGGATGATGATTGACCGAAACAGGGCTTGCAAGCTCTTTTGGGGTTATTCGAAATGTTCTTAAACCAGATTGTGGTGATGATTACACTCCATAAGTTTACTAAAAATTAGCAGAATGTACATTTAAAACGGGTGAAATTTTTAATAGTCATAATGGGAAAATTCTTTTTTTTTTGAGATGAAGTCTCGCTCTGTCGCCCAGGCTGGAGTGCAGTGGTGCAGTCTTGGCTTATTGCAACTTCCGCCTCCTGGGTTCAAGTGATTCTTCTGCCTCAGCCTCCTAAGCAGCTGGGACTGCAGTCACATACCACCATGCCCAGCTAATTTTTGTATTTTTAGTAGAGATGGGGTTTCACCATATTGGCCAGGCTCGTCTCGAACTCCTGACTTCGCGATCTGCCCATCTCGGCCTCCCAAAGTGCTGGGATTACAGGGATGAGGCACACACCTGGCGTATGGTAAAAATCTTAATTATAGACATTGTAAACTGTTGGCTGACATTTGTATTCACAGGTGATAGTAATGAAAACAGAAGCCATTCAGCAACAGGTTTGTAAAATATGCAGCAAGAGAAGAAACGGAGCGTTACTTCTTAAAAAACCGTTTAACCATTTTTAAGCATACAGTTCAGTAGTGTTAAGTAAATTCACATTGAGACCAGGTGCAGTGACTCATACTTGTCATCCTAGCACTTTGAGGGACTGAGGTGGGTGGAGGATTACTTGAGCCCAGGAGTTCAAAACCAGCCTGGGCAATGTACTGAGACCCTCTCTCTTAAAAAAAAAAAAAAAGAAAGAAAGAAAGAAATTAGTCGGTGAGGTGTGCACCTGTAGTCCCTGCTACTCACGAGGCTGAATTAGGAAGATCTCTTGAGCCCAGGAGATTGAGGGCATGATTGTGATTGTGCCACTAAATTCTAGCTTGACCCTGTCTCAAAAAGAAAAAAGTGTATTCATATTTGTTGTGAAACAGATCTCTAGAACTTTCCCATCTTGCAAAACTGGAACTCTATAGCCATTATACAACTCCTCTTTCTCCTCCCTCTGACCGTGGTTACCACCACTCTACGTCTGTTTCTATGAATTTGACTATTTTAGATACTTCGCATAATTGGAATCACAGTTTTTATCTTTTTGTGAGTGGCTTATTTCACTTAGCATAATGCCCTTGGCTTTTATTTTGTTTTGTTTATAGTCCAGGTGTCTTCGATTTTTTTTTTTCTTTTTTTTTTTTGCCACCTAATAGGTTTTTTTTGCCACCTAATAGCCATGCATTTCCAAGGAATAGGTTCTGTAGCAGCTTAAACTCCTGTCCATTGGTTCTCACAGTGTGCTTTTCTGGGTGGAGAATGTTGGTGCTTCAGCTGTTCCTAGGTACCTTTAGCTTCGGCTTCCATCTTTTTCTCATCTTTTTCCTTCATGTGTTTTGGGAAGCTATCTAAGCTGTAGTGCTTTATATGCTCATTATATACATTAATTCTTTTGGCAAGAATCTTGTTTGTTACAGCAATGCCAACAAACAAGATTCTTGCCAAAAGAATTAATAAGTAACGTTAATTCCAACAACATACTGGGTAACGTTCTGACTTCCGGTTTTGCCATGGTAATATTTAGAGGGCATTCGGACTTCCGGTTTTGCCGTGGTAATATTTGGCATTTCTTTTTGAACAGTAGCCTTTTTCTTGATGTCCACAGCATCACTTTTCTTGTAGATTTCTATGTCTGTGGCCAAAGGAACAACTCCATGTTTTCTAAAAGCCCTAGAGAACATATTGCAGGTGCCTCTTCTCTTTTCCTGGTTTTCGTCTTGGTGAATTATTGGAAGATGGTGGTTCCCTTGGAAAGGCCAGACAAAATGGATGATTTTTTTTTTTTTGAGACGGGGTTTCGCTCTTGTTACCCAGGCTGGAGTGCAATGATGCCGTCTCGGCTCACCACAACCTCCGCCTCCTGGGTTCAAGCAATTCTCCTGCCTCAGCCTCCCGAGTAGCTGGGATTACAGGCACGCGCCACCATGCCCAGCTAAGTTTTTGTATTTTTAGTAGAGACAGGGTGTCACCTTGTTGATCAGGATGGTCTCCATCTCTTGACCTTGTGATCCACCCACCCGCCTTGGCCTCCCAATTTGCTGGGATTACAGGCATGAGCTGCCGCGCCTGGCCCAGAATTTAAAAATGATAACCTCAAAAAAACTATTTTAAAAAGTCAAATTACCCTTAAACTAGACTCTATGTAAAAGGGGTTGAGTAGATAGCTTCAAAATGCACCAGAATATGCATACTATTTAAGAGAAGTATCAAAAATATTTTAACTGCGTTATTGAGGTGTGGTTAATATACTAAAGGCTGAAGGAAGGTAGTGTATATAACTTGATGTGCTTGGAAAGGGGGAAAACACCTGTAAAATCCATTATTACAATCAATGCCATAGACTTATATCCATTATCTCCACAAATATCTTCCTGTCCCCTTACCTTTGTTTCCCTTTTTCATTAGCACACTTAACATAATATACCCTTTTAGCACATTTCTAAACATACAATACATTATTTTTAATCATAGACCCTATGTTGTGCGGTAAGTTTCCAGAACATATTTCTTTTGTATAACTGAAAATTTGAAGAGGTATCAAAAAAGATTTTTTGGCTGGGCATGGTGGCTCAAGCCTGTAATCCCAGCACCTTGGGAGGCGAGATGGGCAGATCACGAGTTTAAGAGATTGAGACCATTCTGGCCGACATAGTGAAAACTTGTCTGTACTAAAAATAAAAAATTAGCCAGGTGTGGTGGTGCATGCCTGCGGTCCCAGCTACTTGGGAGGCTGAGGCAGGAGAATCGCTTGAACTTGGGAGGTGGAGGTTGCAGTGAGCTGAGGTGGTGCCACTGCACTCCAGTCTGATGACAGAGTGAGACTGTCTCAAAAAAAAAAAAAAAAAAAAAAGATTTTTAATAAATGTTATTGTTGTAGCTAGTTAGCTGTGGAGAGACAGAGCAGGATTCTATTTATATAATCTTGTCTAATATCAACAAAAACAAGTTCTAGATACAGTAATATAAAACATATTAAAGAAAAACTTCAACCAAGTCTAATTTAATATGTATTCCACCTTCTAAACAAGCAAGCACTTTCCAAACTTAGAGTAATTTAGAAAAGAATATGCATTGAAAAATGACAAATTTTGGCCAGGCACAATGGCTTGTGTCTGTAATCCCAGCACTTCAGGAGGCTGAGGTGGGTGGATCACTTGACATTAGGAGTTCAAAACAAGCCTTGGCAACATGGTGAAAACTCATCTCTACTAAAAAATTAGCCTGGCATGGTGGTGTGCACCTGTAGTCCCAGCCACTCGGGAGGCTGAGGGATGAGAATCACTTGAACCCAGGGGGCAGAGGTGGTCGCAGTAAGCCAAGATCATGCCACTGCACTCCAGCCTGGGCAACAGAGTGAGAGACTGTCTCAAATAAATAAATAAATGCCAAATTTTATAACATAAAACCAAAAAGCTACTGTGTGTTTCTTAAAAGAATATATCACCTATATGAAAACAGCCTTAGAGAAATCATATACAGATACTAGAATAACTTCATCTGGGATATTATGGGGTTAATATCTTAAATAATGGAATATTCACAAGATCTATCACATACTACAGATATTAGAGGATAAATATATAAGATCTTACAAATTCATATAGAAACCACTGAACATTTGTAACAAAAGGCACAAAATTCATAAAAGAGGATGTAAACATACAAAGAAGTATAGATTAAAGCAGTGATTACCACTTTTTCTGTTTTTTGCTCCTTGTGTATTTTTTAAAAACTTTTTATTTTGACAGATATGATTTTTATTTTTTTAATGAATCTCATAGTCTTCAAAGTCAGAATAAAAATTTGTGCCTAGTGATTAGCTGACAGGAAGATGCCTTTAAATGTTGTTTCTTTTTGTTTCCAGGAGGTATTGATGAAGATGTTGTGGTGATCGAAGCTTCCTCCACTCCCCAGGTTACTGCCAATGAAGAAATTAATGTTACCTCAACTGACAGTGAAGTGGAGATTGTAACAGTTGGAGAAAGCTATCGGTGAGATTTTAATTCTTAGTTAAATGTTTGAAATTTTAAATGTAAATATTAAACATGCTTGTGCTGCAAATATATGCATTTAAACAAAAATTTTTTTGAGACCCAGGTTGAGTATTCATGAATATTTTTATGTTGCCAAGGCTGAACTTGAACTGCTTGGCTCAAGTGATTCTCCTGTCTCAGTGTGTGTGGTAGGAGGACTCTAGGCACATGCCACTGAGCCCATGTAGATTAGTGGTTTTCAAAGCAGTCTGCATTAAAGTCACCTGGTGAGATAATAAAATAAAGCTATATTGTTGCCTAGACTCTTTCCCAGACTTGAACTGGAACTTTAGAGGTTAGTCTTTTAAAAGCACCCCAAGAATACAGTGAGAGTTAAGAATTATTGCTCTAAATAAACAATAATTTTTCTTAGTGTTTTATAAAATTGCATTTGTTTAATGATATGAAGGATTCATGATCTCCTTTGAAATTTAGATGTGAATAATACGTAAGTGTTGGGGATGGTACTAAAGTTAAAAGTGAAAGATATATTAAGAGGTACTGATGTTGGAATAGCCCTTTTTGTTAGAGTCTACTTGTTGATACCAGTGAAATTTGTGCTGTTGCTAGGTTAGGGCACTGTAATTCAAAACATCCTGTTTGCCTCTTTGTCCTTCACTCGGTAATGTCTTCTGTGCTCTGAAATAACACCTCAGTGAAACATCCTCATTTGTTTTTATAAATAACTGGAAAACAGACGTTGCCCTATTGCACAGTCACTCCAGCTCTCCCCTCAGGACATCAGCTCCTAACACTGCATTCATCTTATACTTTGGACGATTATAACTGTTGGTAATAATAGTAGTAAAGAGTTGCTCTGTTACATTTGCTACACCAAACTAATAATCTAACAGATGAATCTTAATTTTTGTGTTGTAATGAATTTAAAAGTGCCTTTGTTGATTGCATTTTAATATGTTGTTACTGATTTTAAAAGCATTTCTGACATCTGTTACAAACACACATAGAGCTCGAGCACGCTTTTTCACTGCCTTTTTAGCATCAAAGTACTACTTCCAAAGGCACAGAAGTGAACATTCTATAACATATCCTTGCTTAATTTTTATATGATTTTCCCCAACTCTGATGAAAACTGATAATCATTGTTATGTACCACACTTGTCCTGTGGCTGTGCATAGTGCTTGGTACAACAGTGACTCAATTTTTATGAGCTGTAAGGACTACTGAAATTATGGACCTGTTTTTCCTTGTAGGGCTAGAGGTCTTCTTTTGGACATGGTGATGCCAAGCAGATTCATTTACCTGAGCAATAGATAATGATCTTGAAAAAGACCCAAGTGTTCACGACTCATTGTTGTTTTCCTTATTGTTATCTGGTATATTCAGTTTGATACTGTTTAGCTGGCTTTTGGCCCTTTCATTTAAGAGAGTATTTCTGTGTTTTAGAGTGTTCGGTGTCAGAATTTGATCGTTGCTACTGATCATAGTGGCTACTAACACCTCCTTGAGTCTTCCTCATACGTCAGTTGTTTTTTACACTTGCTCCGTCTGGTAGAATATGTTGCTTTCACAGAAGTACTGCAGAGCGGGCCTGTCACTTCCTTCAGCTATTAACAACTTCCCAGAGATAAGACACTGCTCAGCCTCATCATAGATTTGGCTTTTCAAGAATTTTAAGTTTTGATACCTGTCCTCACATGAAACCATTTTATCCCAAGACATTTGTTTACTGTCACTGCTCAAGCTGTACCACAACTGTTTCTGATATGTACTATCCTGTTTGACAGTGGCTCAGTCATTAACCTTTATACTCCTTCTTAAGAGTTTTATTTTAGAATTTGAACTCCTTTTTAAACTCGTAATTTCTGAAAATGTGGAGGCCATTTTCAGCCCACTTTGACCTTTGGAGTTCTCTTCCGAGTGGTTAGGTTCCTCCCCTCGATGACCTTTTATATTACAGGTCTTTTCCATAAATGCTGACAATAAACTTAGGAGCAGTTTTATATTTAGTTTGAGTAGGAGAAAGCCCTTGTGTTTTATGGGCCTTACCTTTCTACAACATACATTTTTTTCTCTCAGAGCCTTTAGGACTGCATGTTCTACATATTATCCCTGTATATCCTCAGTCCAAATCATTATCGCGAGTCCTTAAAAGTATACATACCTGTAAGTAAATTTAGAACAGTGTAATGCCACACACAAACTTAAATGAAGTTAGATGTTTAGGGTTTGCAGTCACGTGTTTTAAAAGCATAAAGCAGCTCATGCAAGTGATGTTTCTTATGGCTACCAAACTATTAAGTACTTGTGGATGTTTTTAATGTGTAGGGTGTTTTTTTATTCCTTTACCTCTAGTGAATTATCTTAGCTATTAACAGAAAATATAAATAGTTTATTATAACCTAGGTAAATACTCAAAGTAACCATGGAGGAGAGAGTAGCATTCTTGAAACAGAATCATATATTTTACACTAATGATTGGTACAACATAGCATTTATATTCTTAGGTTAGTTGGTTGGTGATTCATACAGCAAAGTTTACTGAGTGCTGGACATTGTGCTAGTCATGATTTTTAATTCTATTACCATTATTTCTTTGGAGACATGTATGAAAAACTTAACATTTAGTAAGAAAGGCTTATGGGTTTTTGTGGTGACTAAAAATTATTTATATTTACTAACTTAATATTTTATTAATTAATATATATTATTTATTTATTTATTAAAATATATTATTTATTAATGTAATTTAAGGTCTCGTTCAACCCTTGGACACTCCAGATCTCATTGGAGCCAGGGTTCAAGTTCTCATGCAAGTCGGCCACAGGAGCCACGGAACCGCAGTAGGATTTCTACTGTTATACAGCCCTTGAGGCAGAATGCAGCAGAAGTTGTGGACCTTACCGTTGATGAAGATGGTAAATTGAAGTAGTAACAGTAGAAAATTATAAAGGAGTTTGATAAAAGGAAATCTTAATATGCTAGAAACTCCTCCTACTGCTTACTGGTAATGTATTAACTACAGGGAAATTGTCAGATATTTTAATCTCACGTTTTTAGTTGATAGGATATCCTAGGCTTGTAAATGTACATAAAATTTTTTGTGGTTATTGTTTCATTACTTGACAGCTGTTTTCTCAGGAAAAAATATTTTTACAAGTGGTAGTTTGAGTTTAGCTCAGACTAGTTTAGTTTGATTTGTAATATGATTGTCTTTAACTTGCCATGAAAAAATAGGAGCAGCACTTTTTATATACAAACACAGAAGCATTATAACTGAATTTTAAATTACTAATACTGGTTGTTTAAAATATGTAACTTTACTTTTTAAAAGTTACGTTATTCTTCAGTATTATTGGTACCTTTTTGTGCTGCTCAGTTTTTGTGCTTTATTTTGGCTCACAGCTGTACCCAAGTAACTCAGGAAACAAAACCAGAGTTGGAATAGAGAGGTTAGGAAAAGGGGGAGAATACATGAACATGTGAGTGAACGCATGATGGGAGAATTCATGAACATGTGAGTGAACGCGTGATGGGAAAATTCATGAACATGTGAGTGAACGTGTTATGGTAGAATTCATGAACATGTGAGTGAACGCATGATGGGAAAATTCATGAACATGTGAGTGAACGCGTGATGGGAAAATTCATGAACATGTGAGTGAACGTGTGATGGTAGAATTCATGAACATGTGAGTGAACGCGTGATGGGAGAATTCATGAACATGTGAGTGAACGTGTGCTAGGAGAATTCATGAACATGTGAGCGAACGTGTGATAGTAGAATTCATGAACATGTGAGTGAACGTGTGATGGGAGAATTCATGAACATGTGAGTGAACGCGTATGTGAATTTTCCCACATACTGAATCATCTTGAGGTATTATTAGTTGTCTCTTAAGAATTGGTCAGTCATAATTTCCCTAAATGAAAATGGTAAGCCATATATAAGTTCGTTAGATTTGGGAGTTAGCTATAAAATGAGCAAAGAACATGTCAGGTATATGGAAAGAGTTAATAGGTGGGAAGAGTTAGAGGCCATATGCAATCAGCTCTTTTATGGGCTGTTTGCAGTTTGGGTGGTCATAACTTTCAGAGTACCAGTACTGCGTTGTTTATGAAGAGATAAACAGCTGTTCGCATTTCATTCAACAATCTCTGGTTTTTGTTTTGAAACCCCGTAAATTATCTGTAAGACACAGGCCAATGTAATAGGAATTAATTAATGATGATTGCTCAGAGTTAATTAAATACAGGGTGACTATTTTGGAAACTTTTCGTATGTGTTCCAGTGTGACACCTGCTAGCCAGTACGTAGGAGATGGCCTTTTCCTCACTAGAGTGAGTTCAACCGGAAGTCACACTACTGGGTTAAAAGCATTCCAGTCATCAGTAGATACCCTCTTCCTCCCCTAGTTTTTCTCAGTGGAAAGTTTCTCTCTTACTAAAAATAAATCTAAAACTTAAGTTTATGAGATCAGTGGTTCTCAACCAGGGGAACTTTTCTCCCCCAGGTGATAATTGGCAATGTCTGCAGATTTTTGGTTTTCACAGTTAGGGAAGGATGCTACCGATTCACAGCGCACATCTCCTCCCCACCGAAGAATTGTCTAGCCCAAAATGTTAGTATTGCCGGGATTGAGAAACCCTGGTTAAACTACTTACAAATAAACAGAAGTTCTTCCCCCCTCCTTTTATGTAGAAGCAATTCGCATATACATTTGTACATAGTAGCATTGAAAGTAAAGTGTCCCATATGGACTTAGAGGTACTATTCGTACCTAAGGAATTAGCTTACCATACTGCATTATATAGAAGGTCAATCTTCTCATTCCACAGTGTGTTAAGAGAGCCCCTTCTTTTCAGATTTAATTGTTGTGACTATGCTTTGGATGGATTTATTCCAATTGTTCTCCATTTTAAGCAGCCATTTTACAATTAGTTCTTTGAGGTCTACCTGAAATTTCTCTTACTTTCTGACAGAAAAATGTTAATTTTTATTAGAAGGCACTGATGAATATTAATATTTACAAAATTTACTTTGGAAAATGTACAGAAAGGCATGGAAAGAAGATTAAAACAGACATTAGAAATCATAGCTAAGGTTAAGTGATTGCTCTCTATAAAGCACCATATGAAGTATGTGATCGCAGTTCATCCTAATGACTGTTCTGTGAAGAAAATTCTGTTACTTTTCCAGTTCTGAGAGTGAGGAAATGGAGATCGGTTAAGTAACTTATTCATATTCGTACTGTCAGTGGTGAAATCAGTGTTGCTATCCAGACAGTCTTACCCTAGAATTCATATTGTGTCAGAGTGCGGTTTGTAACACTGTTCTGACAACTTGTGACCATGTGTATGTGCTTAGCAAAGAGCTTTTACTTCCCTTTTACTCTTCTTTGTCATAGATCAGAGAATTTATTTAGAAGCCATCTGAAAACTGTTATCACCTACATTATTGGAATATGGTTATAAGTCTTAGATTTTAAAAAATGCAGTAATATTTTAGTAACGTCAGTTTGATATTGCAGTTTAGCTTTGTGAAAGCTTTCTTTACCATGTTTTTAGAGACTTTGCATTTTTAAAGTTTGCTTGTTGATTATCATAAACACATTAGCTTTGATTAAAATATACCCCTTCGTCTCATTTGTTCTGAAATGCTAAGTTGACATTTTGTGTTTTGTAGAACCTACTGTAGTACCTACCACTTCTGCAAGAATGGAATCACAAGCTACTAGCGCTTCCATTAACAGTTCAAATCCACCTACCTCTGAGCAGGCCTCTGATACTGCTTCAGCTGTCAGCAGTAGCCAACCTTCAACAGTGTCAGAGGCTTCAGCTACTCTTACAAGCAATAGTACCACTGGCACTTCTCTAGGAGGTAGGTAAAAAAGTTGGGGACAGAAGAATTTCAGTCATTACTTTTGTTAGGAAAAGTATTGTTTTTAAGTCTGAGATTTTAGCTGTATTAATAAGAGTATTCTTACTTTATAATAAACTTCATATGTCAGCAAGATAGTCTTTATTATAATGAGGCTGGTTTCATAGTTTGTGTGCTATGTGTGACCAGATTATTAGAGCTCAAATAGAGCCTGGGGAGAGGTAAGTGGCTGACACCAAAAGCATGAGCAACAAAAGCAAAAGTGGTTAAGTTGGACTTTATCAAAATTAATTAATTAATTAATTAATTAATGAGACGGAGTTTCGCTCTTGTTACCCAGGCTGGAGTGCAATGGCACAGTCTTGGCTCACCACACCCTCCGCCTCCTGGGTTCAGGCAATTCTCCTGCCTCAGCCTCCTGAGTAGCTGGGATTACAGGCACGCGCCACCATGCCCAGATAATTTTTTGTATTTTTAGTAGAGACGGGGTTTCACCATATTGACCAGGATGGTCTCGATCTCTTGACCTCCTGATCCACCTGCCTCGGCCTCCCAAAGTGCTGGGATTACAGGCTTGAGCCACTGCGCCCGGCCTTTATCAAAATTTAAAACTTTTGTGTATTAAAGGAAATTATCAAGATAGTGAAAGATAGCCTATAGAATGGAAGACAGATATTGCAAATGGTATATCTGATAAGCACTTTAGAATCCAGAATCTACAAAGCACTTTTTTTTTTTTGAGATAGAGTTTTGCTCTTGTTGCCCAGGCTGGAGTGCAGTAGTGCCATCTTTGCTCACCGCAACGCCTGCCGGGTTCAAGCAGTTCTTCTGCTTCAGCCTCTGAAGTAGCTGGGATTACAGGCATGCAACACCATGCCTGGCTAATATTTTGTATTTTTGGTAGAGACGGGGTTTGTCCATATTGATCAGGCTGGTCTTGAACTCCTGACCTCAGGTGGTCTGCCCACCTTGGCCTTCCAAAGTGCTGGGATTACAGACATGAGCCACCACGCCTGGCCTACAAAGCCACTCTTAAAACAACCCAACAGGCCAGGTATGGTGGCTCACGCCTGTAATTTCAGTACTTTGGGAGGTTGAGGTGGGAGGATCGCTTGACTCCGGGAGTCTGAGACCAGCCTGGCTAACATGGTGAAACCCTATCTCTATTTATGTTTAAAAAACAAAAAAGTAAAAACAAACAAAAAAACCCCAACCCAACAGAAAGACAACCCAATTTTAAAATGAGGAAGGATTGAATAGACATTTCTGAAGAAGCTATATGAAAGAAGCACAAGGTGCTGAACATCATTAATCATAAGGGAAATGCATCTGAAAACCGCAATGAGATACCACTTGACACCCACCAGGGTGTCTATAATTACAACACAAACAAAAATAGAAAATCATCAGTGTTGGCAGAGATGTAGAGAAATTGGAACCCTTGAGAATTGGTGGTAGGGATAGAAAATGGTGCAAATGCTGAGGAAAACACTTGGATGGTTCCTGAGCAAGTTAACATAGAATCGCCATGGATGCACTGAGTCTGCTCCTTAGCTATTTTCACAAAATGATTGAGAATGGGGATGGGAGTTTTTAAAATTTTAATGGCGTCTGTTTCTGGGGTTTTGGGGTTATTGTTTGTTCTTTTGGTGTCATATCTAAGAAACCATTGCCTAAACCAAGGTCACAAATACTGATTCCAGAGTTTTCTTTTACAGTTTTAGCTTTCATACCAAGCTAGTTACTGTGTTTCAGTTAGCAGTGATACCACTAGCGCTCTCTCATGTCAGTTGTTAACTGAGTCTTAAACTAGCTTTCTTTTGTTTTTGGATAATGGTACCGAGATAGGAACTTGCTAACTGCTTACCAATAAGGACACTGTAGACCCTGTAGCTTGTGGCTTGACTAAGTCACCATTAATAATGAAACCATCTTATATTTTCCATCACTTTTTGCTTTTAATAGTGTCTCATTTAATTCTTTTAATATTCATATAATTTACATTTAGCATTAGAAAACTACGTGTGGCTGGATTAGGAAGTACTCTGTCTGGAAAACTGAGGGCAGAATTGAGAAACATTCCCAGGAGTATCCTTCTTTTTGGCCCAGGCTAGTTGTGAAGTCCCGATCTCAGGTGATCCACCTACCGCAGCCTCCAGAGTAGCTGGGACTACAGGTGTGAACCACCGTGCCCAGTAAGGGTGTCTTTTAAATACATTCTCTGAAAAAATGCAGACAGAAATGAAATGGGCTTTTACTTCCGTTGTTGAGTACATACTTTTTCCTTAGCTTGTTACTTGGGTATCTTATATGTTATTGTATATATTTTAATTCTTTAAAAAAAAAAATCCTTGACATGGTGAGACTCATGCCTGTAATCCCAGCTCTTTGGGAGGCTAACGCAGTTGGATCGCTTGAGCCCAGGAACTCGAGACCAGCCTAGACAACATGGTGAAACCTTGTCTCAAAAAAAAAAAAAAAAGCCAGACACAGTGTCTCACATCTGTAATCCCAGCACTTTGGGAGGCTGAGTCAGGCAGATGATGAGGTGAGGAGATCGAGACCATCCTGACAAACATGGTGAAACCCTGTCTCTACTAAAAATACAAAAAAATAGCCGGGCATGGGGGTGGGTGCCTATAGTCCCAGCTACTCAGGAGGCTGAGGCAGGAGAATCTCTTGAACCTGAGAGGTCAAGATTGCAGGGAGCCAGGACAGCACCATTGCACTCCAGCCTGGGCCATGGAGCGTGTCTCAAAAAAAAAAAAACCCCAGAAAATTGTAGAAATTAGCAAGGCGTGGTAACACACACCTGTAGTCCCAGCTACTTGGAGACTAAGTCTGTAGAATCATGTGATCCTGAGGAGTCAAGGCTGCAGTGATCCTCAGTGGCACCACTACACTCCAGCCCAGGTGACAGAGCGAGACCCTGTTTCAAAAAATAAAAAAATTCTTGATGTTGGCATTTCTCTTGCCATTTCAGAAATGAAGAAATCTGAGAAGTTAAGTACCTTGAACAAAATTGTAATAATCTTAGAGGCAAGGATTGACTTCTCATTGACTCCTGTCTCCTGTTACAGCTTGCTGTAGCATTATACCTTTTTTTTTTTTGAAACAGGGTCTGACTCTCATCCAGGCTGGTATGCAGTGGTGCAGTCTTGGCTCACTGCAGTCTCCACCTCCCGGGCTCAACCTGATCCTCTCTAGTAGCTAGGGGACCACAGGCATGCACCACTATGCCTGGCTAATTTCTGTATTTTTGTAGAGATGGAGTTTTGCCATGTTGCCCACACTGGCCTCAGTCTCCTGGCCTGGAGCGATCCACCTCCCTTAGCCTCCCAAAGTGCTGGAATTACAGGTGTGAACTACCACGCTTGGCCTATCTGTAGCATTATTCTTATGTAGATTTTATGTGATACGATCCCAACCTTATTTCAGAATAGTCCAAAAGCATTTATATATAAATCTTTGTTCTTTCACAACTCAGATTTAATTTCTGAGCATCTTGGCTACAGTCCTAAATGGGCCTCTCTTAAGGTCCATTTTCTTCCAGGACCCTATGGAACATTAGTTAAACTTTTTTCCCCACAACCTGTCCTTACCTTATACCTTTTTGCATTTTTCCAACCCTCACATTCAAGCCATCTAGTTTCACACTTACCCAAGTTCCTCCATAAATTTATGGGTTCTCATCGTGGGCTTTCTGTAGGAAATCACCCTAGTATTAATGTGTCTTGATCAGCTCCCTTTCCTTCCTCTAAGTGCCTATTTCAAAACATTCTCCTTTTCCTCAAGGTTTTCATTCCCCAGGGGAAAATTAAATGAATGAATGAATGAATGTTCTTAAGCATGAACTCCCGCAGCTTCCAACACCTTAAAAACTTCCGTGGGTCTCTACCTGTCGTCCTCTACAAATTCTTAGTCTCCTAACTCCCTCTCCCTTCCATTGCCTTTATCTGTCCTCCACCTCTCGTCCTTCTCTTTGTCCTGACCTTGCTTTAACAGTGATCTCCTCCAGGTCTTCAGCGTCTTCTCTGGTTTCATTTCCTTAGTACATAAACATGTATACTTGTGTTAGGTCTATGTACTTTTAAGTGTATTTTTGTCACACTGAACTCTTTCCTCTAATGGGCTTCTGACGCCTTTCATAATGAATAAACCCGATCTTTAAAATCTGACGATAGTCTCCTTTTCATAATTGATTTTCTTCCCGGGACTGTGTTCTCAAACCCTTTTCTCTAGCCCATTTCATTAACTGCAAGTGTTGTAATCTGTCACTAGTATGCTGATGTCTCTCCTGTGTTTTTTGACCACCCTATTTGTTTTAAACTTTTTTTTTTCGAGACAGGGCCTTTGTCACCCAGACTGGAGTGCAGTCTCACTGCAGCCTCCACTTCCCAGGCTCAAGCAATCCTCCTGCATCAGTCCCCCAAGTAGCTGGAACTAAAGGCACACTCCACCACACCTGGCCAATTTATGTACTTTTTTGTAGAGATTTTTGCTGTGTTGCCTAGGCTGGTCTTGAACTCCTGGACTCAAGCAATTCACTCGCCTCTGCTTCCCAGAGGGCCGAGATTACAAGCGTGAGTCACCACGCATGGCCATTTTAGACTTTCAGGTACAGTTGCCTCTTGGACATCTGTCCTGGACCAATCTGCACCCAGTTCAAACTCTGTGTGCCAGAAATAGCTCATTATCTGCCTGACCTCTCCACGTGGTCCTTGTGTTATTCATACATGATAGCTTATATATTCATTTTTTTGGTCTTTTTTCTTTTTTTGTGTGTATTTTTTTTGCTTATTTTTTAAATATTCATTTGTTTAACAAATGTTTATTAATGGCACACTATATGTCAGGCAGTGGAAACAAAACAGATAAGTTTTTGTTCTAACAGAGCTTACTTCTAGTGGATAACAATAGATAAATGTTGAGCCAATAATGTTGGCCAGTGGATTTACCTGTCGTAACTCTGATTTTTGCAGTAATGAGGCAGATTTTATTACTCTTATTCTACAGGTGAAGTAGCACATCTAAGGTTATATGATAGTGGAAAAAGAATTCAAACCTAGGCAGTATGGCGTGGCACCTGTACTTTTCCCCATTATGCCAAGGTTTCTCAATCTTGGCCCTACTGTTGACTTTGGGCCAGATAGTACTTACAGTGGAAGGTGGGGAAGGGCTGTGCATTATAGGATATTTAGCAGCATCTGTGGCTTCTAGCCTCTCAATTCCAGTAACACCACCTCCCTTCCAATTGTGGCACCAAAAATGTCTGCAGGGGACAGCATTGCTTTATGCTATACTAGAAACCGGTGCTTCTGTTCTAGTATTGGTTGATTTGTATCCTAAATTGTCTCCATGCTTGATGATGAGCTTCTTAAGGGCCAAAGAGCAAATGTTTCTCTTCTTGGCACTTAGCTACATGAGTGCATGCCTCTTTTCCCTTGTGAATTTAACTTAAATTTACAAAGTGCTTATTGAACCACCTATGTTGCACAAGCGTGTTTCTGGTTGCTAGAGATAAAAACGGCAAAGGCAGATAATACTGTAAGTTACGTCAAAGGCTAGGACTTTCATTTTCACCTTTATGTCATCCAGTGCCTTTTGTAGATATTTTACCACACCTCTATTATGTGTAAGTCTGTTGAATGAGTGATTAAATTCATGCCTGCATCTCAGTAATCCTGCTAGAGTTACTGAAGGCACTCCTAGGAGGGACTTTAACGAAATTATTGTCACTGGGCTGTGGAGTTAATTTCCCTGATGCGGGTTTGTGATTGTTTCGTTTTTACTGGGCTCTCTATGGGTTAATTTTCATAGAAAAAGAAATGTTTTATTTACTGAATCTGATATCTTTGTATTTCAGCTCTAATTTATGGCAGTTTTATTTAGGTAGTAACTCTTGAATGAGAGGCTAATTGGTTGTCTTTACTTGGGGCTGCAAGCCTGCTTGAGAAAAAAAGAGGTTCTGGACAATAGGAAAACAGACTATTTAACTGGAAGGCAAATCTGTTGCCTAGAAGTAGAGCTGTAAGATCAGTCTTCTTTTTGTCATACTGTTAATTATTTTATGCCTTAAGTATGTATTCAGCCTTAAATATATTATAGTCATTGTGTTTACTCTTTTCTCAATCTGATTTTTATTTTCAGAATCCTCAAAGGCAAAAGGAGACAATCAATTTCTGAACAGATACATGCCATATCTATCACATTAGTGATGGTAACAAACTCATATCCTGACTTTTAGAGTCTCACGTAATCCTCAAGTAACTTGGTTTGTAAATTAAAGTGTCAGAGTTGGAAGGAACCATGAAGGCCATTTAGTGTATCCCAGTGAGTGAATTTAGTGTCCCAAGGGTTTTCAACCTTTTTTTTCCTGATGTGATACACAATAAATGACATTACTTGTGTAACACTTTTACATAGGGACTAAGATAAAATCCTGAAAATGCTGTAGCAACTAAAGCTACTGAAATAATGAGTAACTTGTTACACATATTATAATTTATAGGAAACAGCTACTTAATGTTGGGTTCAGCACAGCCCTAAGAGACTGTTGATCATGCTGGGTTCCTGATACGCTGCTTTTAACTTCGTCCAGGTTATTCAAGACATTTGGAATGCAAGTGAATGAAAGTAACATAATTCTAGAACTGACTTTGAAACTGCCATTATTTGTTTTAAAAAGTAAGCAATTGTTGACTTTATTTTATTACAAATTACAATATTTCACATGTCAACTGATGCTATAAAGTAGTACTAATTCTAGCGTCAGTTACAGGTTAGTGAGAATTTGTATTTTTCTTCCATCCAGGTTCACAGAACCCTGGATTCTAGTTCCCCAGGTTAAGAACCTTTACAAAAGGGTTTGGGAGATTAGCCTCCATAGGCCAGACTAGGAGCTTGGAAAAATCGAATATACAGAAATGTAGATTAGAGCTACTGTGTGACAGAGGTTAGAACACAGACCTTGAAGAGATGAGAATCAGGAAAGGCAGGATAGGACATTAAGAGGGCACAGCCAGGAGAATTATAGGGAAATTTGCTGGAATCTTACTAAGCAGAGCCTGAAGCACGCCCCTACCTAGATTCATTTATGTGAACCCATAATTCCCTTTATTGTTTAAGCTGTTTTGGTTGGATTCTTTTTTTTTTTTTTTTTTTTTTTTTCATTTATTTCAATACTGTTTGGCGGTTGGAGGATTTTTTTTTTTTTTGAGACGGAGTTTCGCTCTTGTTACCCAGGCTGGAGTGCAATGGTGCCATCTTGGCTCACCGCAACCTCCACCTCCTGGGTTCAAGCAATTCTCCTGCCTAAGCCTCCTGAGTAGTTGGGATTACAGGCACGCGCCACCATGCCCAGCTAATTTGTTGTATTTTTAGTAGAGACGGGGTTTCACCATGTTGACCAGGATGTTCTCGATCTCTTGACCTCGTGATCCACCCGCCTCGGCCTCCCAAAGTGCTGGGATTACAGGCTTGAGCCACCGCGACCAGCCTGGATTTTTATATTATTTGTAAACAGGCAAAAGATTCCTAATTGATTGATACATGTGGCCCAGAAGAGATGAGCTACTTTGAGCCACATGGGAGCAGGATATCCCTGCTGTTGGGTACTCTAAAATCAAGGCTGGGACAGTAATGTTCCAGAATTCTAAGGGTTCTGATGAGATGCCTCAGAATCAAAGTGGGGGTTTAAGGCTTTGGCTTTGGGCTTTTCACCCTTGTAATTTAATCAGAAACTTCCCTTTTAAAAAATCTGTTTTATATAATTTCCGTCTAATGTTTAGTTTAAGGAAAAGTTTCTGGGTTTTAAATGACTTTGAAACACTGGGACAAACTTTCAGGGGTCACTTTTGCAGTTCTTCTCGCAGGGAAGAATATGTCTTCAAAATAATTCTGGGCATGTGGCAGACAGCATAATCAGGACTCATGTGTTTCATACCTAGAAAACTGTTTTTTCAGACAGTCATGCAAGGCAATTTTACTGCCACATTTTATGGATGCAATGGAGGTTAAACAACTTTCCTGTGGTCCCATTGCTAAAAGAAGGGTCCCACATTAGAACCCAGATTCATTTGACTCCATGCTTTTTTCCCCACTATGTGACACTAGGTTATTAGATTATTATAAAGCACATATTATTTTACAGGTATTAGAGTCTGATCATTTCTTATATTTTATTGGTTCTGATTATAGAGTCCAAAGGCAGGGAAAAAGATACTGGGCCGGATATGGTGGCTCACACCTGTAATCCCAGCACTTTGGGAGGCCGAGGCAGGCGGATCACCTGGGCTCAGGAAGGAGATTGAGACCAGCCTGGGCACTATGGCAAAATTTCGTCTCTACAAAAAAACACAAAACTTAGCCAGGTGTGGTGGTGTGTGCCTGTGGTCCCAGCTACTTGGGAGGCTGAGGCAAGAGAATCTTTTTAGCCCGGGAGGTGGAGGTTGCAGTGAACCAAGATCAAGCCACTGCACTCCAGCCTAGGCAACAGAGTGAGACCTGGTCTTTTTAAAAAAAAAAAAAAAAGTTAGCAGATAGTGAGACTCAGCTAGATAAACTCTGACTTAGGTGGTTGTGTCTTAAGAAGGTAAAATTTTAAGCGGTACATAGCTGTCTGTGTTATACAGGAATGATTTATGATATTAGGGGTTCATGGACCTCAGGGGAAGGTCACTTGATTTGTAGCATATAGTGGAAGGACTCGTGGTATTTTAAAACTTTTAAAATGCAGTTTTGTTCGTGATCATTTGTTATGCCCTAGGAAGATATGATTAACTGCCATACTTACACATCACAGTAAATATGAGCCTCCTGAAGAATTCAGAGTTTCAGGAAAATCTCAGTGAAGACCACTGCATAAAATCATATAATGTGTATGTTAAGAATGTGTCACTATTGGCTGGGCACGGTGGCTCACGCCTGTAATCCCAGCACTTTGGGAGACCGAGGCAGGCGGATCACCTGAGTCAGGAGTTCAAGACCAGCCTGAGCAACGTGGAAAAACCCCGTCTCTACTAAAAATACAGTATTAGCCAGTGCCTGTAATCCCAGCTACTTGGGAGGCTGAGGCAGGAGAATCGCTTGAACTTGGGAGCCAAAGTTGTGGTGAGCCAAGATTGTGCCATTGCACTGCAGCTTGGACAACAAGACAGAAACTCTGTCTCAGAAAAAAAAAAGTGACACTATCACATTTACAGAGATTTGAATTTACTAAACAGTTCCTAATTATTTATACCCCATAGCTTTTTTTTACACAGTGATACTTAACGATTTGATTATTCTGTGCATTTTCTTCTGTTTCAAGATGACTCAAGGAGAACTGCCTCTAGTGCTGTGACGGAAACTGGCCCTCCTGCAATGCCCAGGTTGCCTTCCTGCTGTCCCCAGCACTCACCGTGTGGAGGGTCGTCGCAGAACCACCATGCATTAGGACACCCTCATACCAGTTGCCTTCAGCAGCACGGTCACCATTTTCAGCATCACCACCACCACCATCATACTCCCCACCCGGCTGTCCCAGTTTCTCCCTCCTTTAGTGATCCTGCTTGCCCTGTGGAAAGACCTCCACAAGTACAAGCACCTTGTGGAGCAAATAGTAGTTCTGGTACCAGCTATCATGAACAGGTATGTGGAATTCGAATTGGCCTTTCTTTCCTGCCTCTCTCCTTTGTCTCTCTCCGTTTCTCTCTCTTCCTTTCCCTTCATTCCTCTCTCCCCCTCCTTCCGTTTCTCATCCCTGCTTTCCTCCCTCCCTCCTTCCCTTTCTTTTTTTCACTCCCTACCATGCTTCTTTCCTTTCCTTTCTCTCTTCCCCTCCTTTCTTTGTTCTCTTCCCTTTCCTCTTGCCCGTCCTTTCCCCTTCTGTTTTGAATGTGTGGAATACCCAGCATGAGGGAGTAACCACTTGAGTTAAAACCATCCCACCTTTCTTTTTTAATTGTGGTGGCTTTGGGAGGAGGAAAAAAAGCCCTTGGGACAGATGATCCACACTAAATTAGTCACATTCTCACATTCAAAAGTGGCCTATTGAGTGGTCTGTAATCTCTTTTTAATTAAGTCTCCAGGGTGTTCAGATGATCTAAATTATTACAATTAATTGAAGGGACCATGGATGTGGGAAATCAGAACTGATACTTAACGTAAAATCATTTTATAAAAATTCTGGAGGGCCGGGCGCGGTGACTGTTGCCTGTAGTCCCAGCACTTCAGGAGGCTGAGGTGGGCGGATCACGAGGTCAAGAGATCGAGACCATCCTGGCCCACATGGTGAAACCCGTCTCTACTAAAAATACAAAAATATTAGCTGGGCGTGGTGGCACGCACCTGTAGTCTCAGCTACTCGGGAGGCTGAGGCAGGATAATTGCTTGAACCCGGGAGGTGGAGGTTGCGGTGAACCAAGGTTGTGCCACTGCTCTCCAGCATGGTGCCTGGTGACAGAGTGAGACTCTGTCTCAAAAAAAAAAAAAAAAAAAAATTCTGGAATGGTTTTTGATGTTTTTAGTGTAAATACAGTTGAATCTGATCTTTGGGATCTTATTTTAAACAAATGGTGAAACTCTAGAGTCAGGCTTATTCTCCCACTTTTTTTTCCTTTTACCTCCTCTAGAGTTCACTGTAACCTCACTCATGTAGAAATAAACAGCCTTCTCAGATGTAGACCTGTAGCGTATTTTCTCAGGGGCAGATGAGGTTTTCAGTTTATGGAGAATTGAAATGTCAGCAGAAAATTGTGATTAAGTAGATTACTTGGTATTATTAGTGAGTTCACGAAATGTCAAATAATATTACCTTAGTATTGGCAATCACAGAGAGTAAAACAGTCTAGTGTTCCATGCTACTTTAACTTTTGGTATGTCACTTCCATGTATGATTGTGATACAAGCCTGAGTGTTGCATACTTTAAAAACCAAAAGATGTAATTTCAGAGAATAATTGTGACTTCGACATATAATATGCCAGAAAATAAGTGCGGCAAAGAAAGTCAAAGAGGCTGGCACGGGGGCTCACGCCTGTAATCCCAGCACTCTGGGAGGCAGAGGCAGGTGGGTCAGTTGAGGTCAGGTGTTTGAGATCAGCCTGGCCAACATGGTGAAACCCTGTCTCTACTAAAAATACAAAAATTAGCCAGATGTGGTGGCGTGTAGCCCCAGCTACTCAGCAGGCTGGGGCTGGAAAATTGCTTTAACCTGAGAGGCAGGAGTTGCAGTGAGCTGAGGTTGCGTCAGTGCGCCCCAACCTGGGCAACAAGAAAAAGACTCCAAAGTTTTTTTTTTCTTTTTATTTTGAGACAGAGTCTCACTCTTGTTGTCTAGGAATACAGGCATAAATCATTGTGCCTGGCCAAGGTGGTGCTTTTCTGTTTTCACCTCACCTTTCCTAAAGTACCTGCCTCATCTTTAAAAATTTTGATGGTATGTCTTCTGCATCTTGACAGATTAAAAATCATTAAGAAGGAGAGGTATTCTTTTTAAAAATGCAGCTGCTATTAAGAGGAAGTTTGAATTGAGCAGAAAAAAGAGATTTTAGATATCATTTTGGTGTTGGTTATATTTCTCGGTATTAACAGATTGTCCAGACCTGTTCTGCCTCTGGGGAATGAGGGAACATCAAGAAGAATTTTCCAGTGAAAGGACCTGCTTGATAGTATAATGTTCTTTTGCTATAAATTTGGTTAAATGACTCTTAGTAAGTATTGTAGGAAAATGGTGAAGAAGAGGTGGGTGTGCCAGCTTTTCCTACATTCATTAAAGAGCTGTCAAAAGTATCATTTGCAGAATATTTTATTATTAATAAAATAACACAGCTGATTTGAGAGATCAATTATCTATATAATGTTTTCTTTCAGCTTGAGTTAATTATAGGTAGGATCTCTTTTACAGTTCTGTTCAGTGTAAAATAAATATAACCCATTTACCCACCTGTAAGTATTAATAGAAATATTTGGACTGCAAACAAAACCTGAGAAGAATCAGCAGGATCCCAGGCATTCAGTGGTGATACTGGCTTGGAAGGTAGAGAGTGAGATTTTGAAGACAACAGTTTGAGACTCATACTGATGTTTCTAGGACTCTAAACTTAACTACATGCTCGTAATGTAACCATATAGTCTTCACTTCAGACCTATTTGGGCATAGCAGAAAGTAGAGGAACAAAAGTAGCAAACAAAACCTGAGATTTGTGATTGTGTAGATGTCTTATGATTTGAGTGCCCGACTATGCAGTCAAAGGAAAATTGGACAAGCAAACCGAGAAGATGCAGTAGTCGTATAGATGGTCCCCACTGCTTGCTTTCATACGATATGGCTTTCAGCCCGACCTACCCTCCACAGTACCCTCCATCCTCCACCCACCCCACCCCACCCCACCTCCCACTTTTTTTTTTTTTAAGAGAGGATCTTGCTTTGTTACTAAGGCTGGCCTTAAACTCTGGGGCTCAAGTAATCGTCCTGCCTCAGACTTCCAGTTAGCTGACTACAGGCATGTACCATAAAAGCCCAGTAGTTTGATTAGTGTGGTGCGTCATTTGTGATCTATGTAAAGCAATTATTATGTCCCAGCACTATACTCACCTTGCTTACCCTTGACTGTCTTTTGAGAATGAGAATTGAGTGAGCTGTTAGAATTGTGAAGAAGAGGGTTCTCATTATTGTTTTTTTCCCTTTATTCTTTAATTTTACCCTCACTTTCTTCTAGGAATTACGTTACCCTGGGAGTATTCTTAGTCACTGACTGGAGATGAAGATAAGATGAAATTTGGTCACCTTCACAAGATGTTGTATTCTAGTCCATTTGCTAATTTTGGTCTAAACAGTAGGGAAAGGATTCAAACCATAAACATAAATTCAGTCTTACAACATTATTCTTAAACCTTATTTACCTGAATTGAGGACAGAAGTTGCATTTGCCAACTCAACAGAAGGAGACAAGACATACACTTGACTGTACATAAATAATACAGAAGAAAGGAGCTCTTCCTTTTCTCCTTCCCATCTTCCGTATCATCACTTGCCTTTCCTTTCAGCACCCAGAGTTCCTTTTGTTTCTGTTATTCCCCTGAACCTAGAGCTCACTGAAAGTAAAAAGACTGCTGTGGTTCCTCTGAGGACTACAGGGTGACTTGGGCCTTTAGTTTCCCCAGTACATATAGAAGTTAATGTTAACACTGTACAATAGTAAGTCCACACTGGCGTTATGTCTAAAAAAAGTACATGATTCAATTTAAAAATACTTCATTTAAAAAATATTGTTAATACATCTTTTAAAAATGCCAGCAGTCCTCTGAGCCTTCAGCAAGTTGTAATCCTTTTGCTGATGGAATGTCTTGCCTTAATGTTGATGGCTCTGACTGGTGAAGGTGGTGGTACCTAAAGATTGCAGTGGCTGTGCCAGTTTCTTGAAGCCAACAGTGGAGTTTGCGGCATTGATCCACTCTTCCTTTCGTGAATGATTTCTCTGTAGCACATGATGCTGTTTAATAGCATTTTACCCATAGAACTTCTTTCAGAATTGGAGTCAGTCCTTTCAAACTCTGCAGCTGCTTTAAGTTTATGTAATGTACTCATGTAATATACTGAGTTTGTATGATAGTCTAAATCTTCTGTTGTCGTTTTCATCTTGTTCCCAGTATCTTTAACAGGAGTAGATTCCATCTCAGGACATCTCTTCTGCCTTTTTTTTTTTTTTTTAAATGAAAACAACAACAACGAAAAACACTTGTCTCTGGGGCTGTGCTATGCTTTTATTTAAAAGAAAAACACTTCTGGCTGGGCATGTTGGTTCATGCCTTTGCTCCCAACACTTTGAGGGGCTGAGGTGGGAGGATTGCTTGAGCCCAGGAGTTAAAGACCACCCTGGGCAACATGGCAAGACCCTGTCTCTACAAAAAATTTAAAAATTAGCTGGGTGCAATAGCGCACACCTGTGGTCCCAGCTACTTGGATTGCTTGAGCCCGGTAGGTCAAAGCTGCAGTGAGCTGTGTTTATAACACTGCATTCCATCGTAGGCAACACCTTGTCTGAAAAGAATGAATGAATGAGTGAATGAATGAATGAATGAATGAGGCTGCGTCAGTGGCTCACTTCTGTAATCCCAGCACTTTGGGTTGTCAAGGCAGGTGGATCATTTGGGGTCAGCAGCTCTAGACTAGCCTGGCCAACATGGTGAAACCCTGTCTCTACTGAAAACACAAAAATTAGTCGGGTGTGGTGGCATGTGCCTGTAATTGCAACTGCTTGCAAGGCTGAGGCAAGAGAATCACCTGAACTTGGGAGGTAGAGGTTGCAGTGAGCCGAGATTGTGCCACTGCACACCAGCCTGGGCAACAGAGTGAGACACTGTCTCAAAAAAAGAAAAAAAAGGTAAAATAAATAAAGGGCATAAAGAAACCACTTTCTTTGCCTCTCTGTAAGAAGCAACTTACTCAGCTTTTATCATGAGTTGCAGTAATTCAATCATATCTTTAGGGTCCAGCTTCTTACTCTGGTTCTCTTGCTGTCTTCACAACATCTGTAGTTACTTAATCCACTGAAGTCTTGAACCCCTCAAAGTATGCATGAGGCTTGGGATCTACTTTTTCCAAATGATTAGTGTTGCTGTTTTTGGCTGCCTTCCATAAACCACAGATGTTCTTAATGACATTTAGAATGGTGACTTCTTTCTGGTAGGTTTTCAGTTTATTTTTGCCCAGGTTGATCAGAGGAATTACTATGGCAGCTGTAGCCATACGAAATACATTTCTTAAGTAATAAGACTTTACTCCTCGATCCATAGTCTGCTGACTGGATGTTGTGTTCGCAGGTATGAAAACATTAATCTCCTCATACATCATCAGAGCTCTTGGATGACTCTCTGCATTGTCAAAAAACAGCAATTTTCTTTTTTCTTTTCTGAGACAAGGTCTCACTTTGCTAAGCGGTAATATTTTAAAAGGAATTGTTTTTTCTTAGTGGGTCTCAACAGTATTCTTAAAATACTCAGTAAACCATGTAAACAGATACATTGTCAACCTAGGCTTTTGTTTGTTAATAGAGCACAGGCAGAATAGATTTAGTATAACTTTTAAGGGTTCCAGGAATTTTGGAATTGTAAATGAGCATTGAACTTCAAGTCACCGGCTACATTAGACCCTAACAGGAATCATCCAGTCCTTTGAAACTTTGAAGCCAGGCATCGACTTCTCTTTAGCTGTGGAAGTCCTGGATGACATCTTCCAATATTAGGCTGTTTTGTCTACATGGAAAATCTGTTATTCACCGTAGCACTTTCCATAAACGGTCTTAGCTAGATTTTCTGGATACCTTACTGCAGCCTCCACACCAGCACTCGCCGCTTCACCTTGCACTTGTATAGAGATGGCTTCTTCCCTTCCATTTCTTGAGCTACCCTCTGCTATCTTCAGACTTTTCTTCTGCAGCCTCCTTGCCTCCCTCAGCCTTCATAGAATTGAAGACAGTTAGGGCCTTGTGCTAGCTTAGGCTTTGGCTTAAGAGAATGTTGTAGCTGGCTTGATCTTTCATGTAGACCACTGAAACTTTCTTTAGATCATCTCTAAGGCTGCTTCACTTTCTTATCGTTTGTGTATTCACTGGAGTACTTTCAGTTTCTTTCAGAAATTTTTACTTTGCATTCACAACTTGCCTAACTGGTATACAAGGCCAGTTAGGGAAGGTGTTCTTTCTGGGTCCACATGGGGGCGTAGTTTTAAGGGCAAGAACTTCCTACACTATGCTCCCCTCCCATCTCTCTTCATCTGGGAGATTTAACAGTTTATGTTTAAATTTCACTGGTTCGGGAAGAAACTGAAGAGTCAGTCATTCCAGCAGAAGTTCTAGGGAACTCCTTTCATTGGCCTGGGGTCTTAGAGAAGGTGGGGGTTCCTTCCAGGTTAAAAGTCCCCTTCTTCCACACCCCTTTGGACTCCATGTTTGGGTCCCCTTCCACGAACATTGCCTTTGTGGAAGCTGTCTTTCTCTTGGATTTCCCATCTGGAGTCCCCTTCCACACTCTGTGGTGGAAGCCTGTCTTCTCCTCCTAAACGCCATCTCTCTATTGCCTTCCACTCAGTGTGGAAGCTGCTTTCCTCTCCTGAATTCCATCTTTCTGGATTCTCTCACTCAGTGTGAGAATTAGCTGTTTCTTTCTCTCTCCTCCTGTTTCTCTCTCTCTAAATAAATCACTTTCTACACTTTTGAATCTTGTATTTACTGTGCACTGCACTGTGGTCCCCTTTCACATTCTTGAGAGGGCAGGAGACCAAGAACCTGGAGAAATGTCTTCTCAGGGGAGCTGAGGGCACCCCTGAACCCCAATATAACATATTTTTTAGCCTATCTGGGCTTTTGACATGTCTTCCTCACTAAGCTGAATCATTTATGGGTTTTGATTTAAAATGAGAAATGTGCAAATCTTCCTTTAACTTGAATACTTGGAGGCCATGAATTGGCCTATTCAATGTTGTTGTGTGTCAGGACAGAGGGAGGCCCACAGAGACGAGAGGAGGATGTTGGGAACATCTGTTAAGGACACACACGTTTATTAAATTTGTTGCCTTATATGGGCACAGTTTTTGGTGTCCAAAGCAATTGTAGTAACTTTAATGACTACTGATCAAATATCACCATAATAGATAAAATAATAATGAGAAAAATTTAAATACTGTTAAGAATTACCAAAATTGGATAGACAGAGTACGCACATGCTGTTGAAAGAATAACCCTGATAGACTTGCTTGACAAACCTTCAGTGTGTTCAGAACAAAACCGCAAACATCAGTAAAGCATGATAAAGCAACCTGCAGTAAATCTCCCTGTCAAAGTAAGCAGTGGTGTCATCTTTTTATTCTTGGTTTTTTGAGTAAATGAAAGCTTTAAGTGGCAAAGGTAATTCATGATTTAGTGTGAAGAATCTCAGTCCTTTGTTACTTTGAGTAATGTAGATTTGTTAACACTATTAGAATTTTGGTTAAATTCTTGCTTCATACATTTTGGAACTTGCGGCAGACAAGATTTTTCCTAGAACCTTAATGTTTTCACTAGTGCGACCGTATGTTTTCCAAAGGAGTCCTAAATTAGTAGTCACAATGTTGGGATAAAGGAGCATGTAGAAGTATGATTTTAAAGTTTATAAGATATAGATGTAATAAGACAAAAAGACTTCATTACACTTATTCATCTTGTGATATAATCTTATGCTTGATTTTTAAAAATTGGTTTTAAGTAAAACCACTACAGTGTTCACAGTCTAAGATACACAAGATACCCAAGTATTTTTTTGGTGCTCAGTAGTTCTTCACACTAGGAATCTTACTGTTTTCAAATTAAAGATTATGTTTTTCTTGGTTGTGTTAGGAATACTTTTATAATATAGCATGAAATGTTTGACCAAACTTTAGAAAGATAAAACATAGTTCCTTTTTATATAGCAGGCATTGCCAGTAGACCTGAGCAACAGTGGTATCAGAAGTCATGGAAGTGGCGGTTTTCATGGAGCATCTGCATTTGACCCCTGCTGCCCTGTTTCCTCTTCCCGAGCTGCAATCTTTGGCCATCAGGCTGCTGCTGCTGCCCCAAGTCAACCATTATCATCAATAGATGGCTATGGATCAAGCATGGTTGCACAGCCCCAGCCCCAGCCCCCTCCACAGCCCTCTCTCTCGTCATGTCGGCATTACATGCCACCCCCTTGTAAGTATAAACTTAATGGGCACAAAATCTAGAGTTATATCAGTGAAGCATTTTATACTCCTTCATGAAATAACCTTTAATTAACCCCAGTTCTTAAATTTTTAGTATTTACTTGGCTTAACCATGGAGTATATTTTTCCCATTGTAATACTATGAAACAGGTATGTTGAATGGAAGTTTTAAGGAATTTTGATTTATTCTCTGGGACAACTGAAGAAATGTGAAAGTTGAGTAGTATTTCTAGGCGCTGTTAAGCAAATTCTAAGAATTCTCAAGCAGTTAACTGAGACATGAGAGAGCATATCCTGACTGCAAGCTCTGTCAGTTATAAAAGAGTTTTTATACTCACTTAATGCAGGCAATTAAAATAAAACCTTGGTTGGGCATGCTGGCTCACTCCTGTAATCCCAGCACTTTGGGAGGCCAAGGCAGGAGCATTGCTTGAGGCCAGGAGTTTGAGACCAGCCTGGTCAACGTAGTGAGACCCTGTTTCTATAAAAATAAAATAAAATAGAACCAGGCATGCCTTTTCTGAAGAAATTGAAATTTGTTAGATATGGTGAGAACTGATAAATACCCTAAGGACGTGTCACATAGTTACTATTTTGTTAGATCATAAGCTGATAATCAAATGGAGCTCAATAAACGGCTAAGAAATACCAAAAGTTCATCCTGAAATAAAGTAGGACGTCAGCAAGGAAATTTGTGTTTTGTTCTGATTACGTGGCAAGGAGAATTTTCAGTTATGTATGTATCTTCTTGGATTTTTTTCTTCTCCAATCATTTAAAAATCTGCATTCTGCAGAAACAGCTGGAATCAACCCAGAATTTGTACAGTGAAACTGGAATATATTATTTACCTTCTCAGTAATGCAACTTAAAATTTTGAGTATAAATTGGAAAATAGATTTAGAAACACTTTTTACACAGCCTTGACAAATGGGCCAGTTCTGTGTATGAGCACCAATATTATGCATGGCCTATTTTGTGATACTTGATGGTATTCACTTTTTTTTTTTTTTTTTTTTTTTGAGACGGAGTTTCGTTCTTGTTACCCAGGCTGGAGTGCAATGGCGCAATCTTGGCTCACCGCAACCTCTGCCTCCTGGGTTCAGGCAATTCTCCTGCCTCAGCCTCCTGAGTAGCTGTGATTACAGGCACGCGCCACCATGCCCAGCTAATTTTTTGTATTTTTAGTAGAGACGGGGTTTCACCATGTTGACCGGGATGGTCTCGATCTCTTGACCTCGTGATCCACCCGCCTCGGCCTCCCAAAGTGCTGGGATTACAGGCTTGAGCCACCGCGCCCAGCCCCGTATTCACTCTTAATGGATCATCTTTTATTTGAAATTCCATATATGTAGTTTTCTGCCCCTCCTCTTTAAAAATAATATACTGAAGCAGTTTACACGTAAGTTCATTCCTTTTAAAATGTTATAATAAATAAACGTTTTAGATTCATTTGTTAAATTCTAAAACATTCAGACTGTGCCGAGTGATATAAAATAATTTAAAAGCTTTTTGCCACAGCTTACTCTTAATATATCAGAGGTAGCAACTGTGATATAAAAACTTTTAGAAATTTTCTTTGTACATTTAAATAAGTATGTATATGTCTTACCTTTTCAAAATGGGAAATCAAACATACACCCCTTGCTTTTTGTTTTCAAATTTAGCAGTATATCTTGATTTTTGCATATTAGCATATAAAAGTCAAGCTCATTGGTTTTTGATACCCCCGTAATCTCCATTGTATATTAAATCAGTCTTCTGTTGATGGACATTTAAGTTGTCTGTGGTTGAGTTTCTGTATAGTATAACTTCCTAGAAGTGAGATTGCTATGTCAGAGCGATAAACTTTCAGGTAAATACTGTTAAATTTCTCTCCAAGGGGCTGTATCAATTTATACACCTCATTCGGTGTGTTTAATGAGTATTAATGAGAATGAAGGTAGGAAATTTAAATTGTATTATTTTCTGTTAGAGACATTTTGATAACTCTCTTCTGGGCTTCTTTTCCTAAAGGATTGTGTATATTCTCTCCCTAACTCTTGCATGCTTTTAAAAAACATTCCCAGTATCCTTTAGTTCACTTGTGAAACATGTGGTTCTTAAACTTTCTTCATCCAGAATGAACTGGGGAAGACAGTGTGATGTAGTAAAGCACCAGCTTTGAATTGAATAGAATAGATTTGAGTTAACCTCCCAGCTCTGACTAATCAGATTAGTGACTTTGGATAACTTACTTAATCTCTCTCCTTACATTCTTTGCACTTGTAAAATGGGAATGATTCCTATTGGCTATACATTGTGATACTTGGACCCAAATGAATAGTTTGCTGTTTCGTAAGTACATTTATATGTATAACAACAATACTTGTGCAATAAGAGTGTCTCCTTGCTTTTGAAAAGTTTATGGTCTTGATGAAGTGATAAAACAACTGTGCTTGAAATGATGTCATTTAAAAGTTTTGCTATCTGATTAATAAGATGTACTGATAAGATATGTAAGGCCTAGCTTGGTAGTGTAAGCCTGTAGTTCCAGCTACTCAGGAGGCTGAGGCGGAGGGGATTGCTGGAGCCCAGGAGTTCAAGGTGGTGGTGTGCTGTTAACACACCTGAATAATCCTTGTACTCCAGCCTGGACAACATAGTGAGAACCTGTTTCTTAAAAAAAAAAAAAAAAAAAGATATGTAGGTAGGGCAAGGCTACTTATGATGAATCATGAAGTGAATGGTCTACCCTGTAAAGCTATAGCAATGTAGAGAGTAACTGTTGGAACAAATCATAATATTGCATCTGCAAGTGATATGTTGTACATCTACGAAGCAAAATCAAAAACATTTTTTTTAAACTGTTAAGAACACAAATGTGAGAGAAAGGGAAGGGGTTTTGGGGAATGCAGAATGTGTCTTTCTTTTATAACAGTGAGCAACCTGTTTTGTTTAGATAAACAGTGAATTCAAATGATGTCTGAAGAGTAGGTAAATAAACGGACTTATTCTGAAACAGAACTTCTTGTTTTGTAATATTTGTGAGTATTGTCTTGCATAATGACTACACAATTTTAAAACTTTGAAACTAGAAAAAATGCTGTGGGCTGGGTGCAGTGGCTCACTTTGTAATCCCAGCACTTTGGGAGGCCCAGGTGGGTGGATCACAAGGTCAGGAGTTCCAGACCAGCCTAGCCAAGATGGTGAAACCCCATGTCTACTAAAATTACAAAAATTAGCTGGGCATGGTGGCAGGTGCCTATAAATCCCAGCTACTCAAGAGGCTGAGGCGAGAGAACCCGGGAGGCGGAGGTTGCGGTGAGCTGAGATTGCGCCACTGCACTCCAATCTGGGCAGCAGAGCAGGACTCGATCTCAAAAAAAGAAAGAGAAAAATGCCGTGAATTTGAGAAAGGATAGTTAACAGTCATAAAACAATAGTAGATTCATTTTTTATGATTAAGAGCTACTGAGCTTTATGCCTTCTTGAAGAGTAAAGTATTGATTTGAAAATAGAACTTTTAGAAAATTGGTTTAAAAATTTGTCTTGCAACTTTAAAAAATTATGTTTGTCGAAGGTTGGTCCTTTAACTACATGTTAACAAAGGCATACTTAGAAAACACAGTTGTGTTGTGGATGCCTAACTTCCGCCCTTGCTGAATGAATCAGAAGTATTAAAAATTGAAGAAAACTTTTCTGTAATTAAACTAGAGAATGGCTGTTGCTCTCTATCAGACTTCCAAGAACATATTCTAATAAAATGAAATTTGGATTGAAATCTAAGGAGACAAACTTTTTTTTTTTTTTTTTAATGGCAAGTAGATGCAGATCTCTAAGAGTAAGAAAGATGTGTATTACTCAGAGGGATTTTTCAGCAGTGACTTTGAAACATAAAGATGTAGAATGAAAAAATGGGGGGAGCCATCTTATTAAGGACTTTACTTCCATATTTGTTGGGAAATAAGTATGCCTCCTTCATCATAAGGTAGTACAGGAAAAACGTCATGGGGTAGGGGGAGAAAGACAGTTTGGAAAAATGTTTACACCCTATTATGACAGAAATTCCATATATGCAAAGAATACTTGTAAGTCAATAAAAGGGTGAATAGGCTAAGCATGTAAATAGATAATTCTGAGAAGAAATACAAGTGGTCAAGAAATTTTCTTTGATTAACATTTATTTAAAAGAAAATAGTGGTAGTGTAGGGGTAATCAGGCCTTCGTATGTACTCCTTTTTGTTTTTTTTTTTTTGAGATAGAGACTCACTCTGTCGCCCAGACTGGGATGCAGTGGCTCGATCTCAGCTCACTGCAACCTCTGCCTCCCAGGTTCAGGTGATTTTCCTGCCTTAGCCTCCCGAATAGCTGGGATTACAGGCACCTGTCATCATGCCTGGCTAATTTTTTTAGTATTAGTAGAGACAAGTTTGGCCATGTTGGCGTGACTGGTCTCAAACTCCTGGCCTCAGGTGATTCAGCCCGCCTTGGCATCCCAAAGTGCTGGGATTACAGGTGTGAGCCTCCATGCCCAGCCCTTTCTGTGTACTCTTGATTGAAATGTTAATTATGGCAACCTTTTGGAAAGGGTATTTTTTATCAACTGGCATCTAAATTTAATTTTCTCTTTCTGTCCCACAACTGCCTATAGGAATTTTTGCTACAGAAATGGTCTCTATGTATGTGTGTATACATGTGTGTAAATGAAAGACTGAGTGCAGGACGGACCATATACACAAATATGTATCACAGCATTTGAGTTTCTTATCAGTGGGGATTTTGTCAATGTATTTTGGTATATTCATGTAATAGAATGTTGTGAAGCTGTGAATGAAATTAATATATTTAATACTGAAGTTCATGTATATAATGTAATATATATTGACCTAGGAAGATATGCAAGGTTATTCTAAGAAGAGAGCAAGTTGCTTGAACAGTTTCATTTATACTTTACTTGATGAAGTATTCATAAAAATAAAATATGTGCTAGAATCTTTAAGAGTACAGTAGGAATATGTAATAGCAATATATGTTCAGCTGCATGGTGCCTATGTAACATACTCGAAATGTTTTTCTTGCAGATGCCTCTTTAACAAGGCCACTTCATCATCAGGCTTCTGCCTGCCCTCATTCTCATGGAAATCCCCCTCCTCAGACTCAGCCTCCACCTCAAGTGGATTATGTTATTCCTCATCCTGTACATGCTTTCCATTCTCAACTATCTTCTCATGCAACATCTCATCCTGTGGCACCCCCACCACCAACTCACTTAGCCAGTACAGCTGCACCAATCCCTCAGCATCTTCCTCCTACACACCAGCCAATTTCGCACCATATTCCAGCCACAGCACCTCCAGCACAGAGACTCCATCCTCATGAAGTGATGCAGAGGATGGAGGTTCAAAGGAGGAGGATGATGCAGCATCCAACGTATGTGTCACATTTTTAAAAAGAAAGTTAAGCTTCCTTCTTCTTTTACTTCTCTTGGTCTTTAAATCTCTGCAATCTGACTGGGTATGGAGGCATGCAACTGTAGTCACAGCTGCTTGGGAGGATTGCTGGAGCCCAGGAGTTTGAGTCCATCCAGGCAGCACAGTGAAATACTGTTTTTTTGTTTTGTTTTTTAAGAACAAAGACCAATAACAAAAACTGTGAAGTCTTTAGAAATATTGTAACTTGTAACTAAGCTGGGTGAGTGTCATGCCTGTAATCCCCAGTTGCTCAGGAGGCTGAGGCAGGAGGATAATTTGAGCCCAGTAGTTCAAAGCTGAGCTGTGACTGTGCCACTGCGCTCTAGCTTGGGTGACAGAGTAAGACTCTGTCCTTTTTTTTTTTTTGAGACGGAGTTTTGTTCTTGTTGCCCAGACTGGAGTGCAATGGCACAATCTCGGCTCGTAGTAACCTCTGCCTCCTGGGTTTTAAGTGATTTTCCTGCCTCAGCCTCCCAAGTTGCTGGGATTACGGGCATGCACCACCATGCCTGGCTAATCTTTTGTATTTTTCATAAAGACGGGGATTCTCCTTGTTGATCAGGCTAGTCTTGAACTCTTGACCTCAGGTGATCCACCTGCATTGGCCTTCCAAAGTGCCAGTATTACAAAACACCAATAGAAAACGAAAGATAGGTGGCTGCAATGATTCACCTTTAATTCCAACACTTTGGGAGGCCAGGAGAGGAGGATTGCTTGAGCCCAGGAGTTTGAGACCAGCTTGGGCAGCATTAGGAGACCTGGTCTCTACTAAAAAAAGAAAGAAGCTGGGCATAGTAGCATACTGCTGTGGTCTCTGCTGTTCGGGAGGCTGAGATGAGAGGACTGCCTGAGCCTGGGAGGTCACAGCTAGAGTGTGGTGGTGCAACCATTGTTCACTGTATCCTTGAACTCCCGGGCTTAAGCGATCCTCCCATGATTATGCCACTGCACGCCAGCCTGGGTGACTGAGCGAGACCGTCTCTTCCCCTCCCCCAAAAGTAACTATGCTAAGTCCTCAGTTCACTATAAAATTGATTCTTTGCTAGCCAGAATCTTCCCCTGCCTTTTCCTGAATTGTAGGTATTGAGAAAAAAAGTTTATACCAGATTATTTAGTAAAATCTGACCAGTTTAACATATGACCAAGGGTAATTTCTTTATGCAAACCAATTTTTAAAAACATAGTAGACTGGGCTGATGCAAACTCATCTGTTGTTCTTTGCTGCAGTCTCGCATCGTGAAAATCGTGTTAAAATTGATTATTTTGAGGAACAGTATCTGAAGATACCAAAGATTTGACTGTTACTGACCAGAGGGGCGAAAACTATTAATAGAATTAAAAAAAATCTGGCAGTGAAAACACTGTGCTTCAAATTTATGAAAATTCTTTTTTCCCTTTTGATTATTCAGGATCTGATGTTCGTATTCAGAGCAGCAAACCTTCTTGGTCTAATTCTGCCTGCCGATTTTTGTAAACAAAATTTTATCGGAAAACAGCTACATTTTTTCAGTTACAAACAAACTGAAAAAGTGTTTGTGCTGTTTGTGGCTGTTTTCACACTGGGAAGGCTAAGTGGAGTAGTTACAACAGAGAACATATGGCCTTTAGAGCTGAAAGATGTTCCTGTTTTACCCTTCACATAACGTTTGCCAAGCTCTTGATCTAATTAATGATCCAGCTCTCGTGTAACTTCTTGCTTTAGTTCTGTGATGTAAGATTATATCCCAAATCTCGGCCGAGCACAGTGGCTCACGCCTGTAATCCCAGCACTTTGGGGTGCTGAGGAAGGTGGATCACAAGGTCAGGACATTGAGACCATCTTGGCCAACATGGTGAAACCCTGTCTCCACTGAAATACCGAAAACTAGCTGGGCATGGTGTCGCGTGCCGGTAGTCCCAGCTACTTGGAAGGCTGAAGCAGGGGAATTGCTTGAACTCTGGAGGCAGTGGTTGCAGTGATCCAAGATTGAGCCACTGCACTCCAGCCTGGTGACAGAGCAAGACTGTCTCAAAAAAACCAAACCAAAAAACCAAGATTATATCCCATATCTATGCTTGTTGTTGCCATTTTAATAAAGTAACCTTTTATATAGAAAATTGCCAGTTTACAGTCTTATCCTCCAGTACCCGGCAAATTGTTATTTAGAATAAACATGCAAAATCTGCAAATTTGTTAAAAACTAATAGAAAATAATTACACTATAAAAATGAATCTTAGCTGAGCATTGTGGCTCACATCTGTAGTCCCAGTTACTCAGGTGGCTGAGGTGGGAGGATCACTTGAGCCCAGGAGTTCACGGTTACACTGAGCTATGATTGTGCCACTGCACTGGACCCTGGAGCAAGATTCTTAAAAAAGAAACAAAAGCAAAACAAAAAGTGAATCCATGAAACTAAGCGGTTTTTAGTGTCTTTTGTTAGTGACCTTAGGGAGAGGAAGTACAGTAAACTGGGATGCAGAATAAAAAGTATGAATAGCACTAAATATAAGTTTCCTATGTGTGTTAACATGTACTGCATGTATTTTGAAAAAAATGCACAAGGTTAAATTTTTTTTTCTCTTAAACTTTCACCCATTAAAATGCTTGCATGTCTTTACATTTTAAGTGTAAATGAAGCAAAATTAAGGTTTCTATTTTTCCTGCTTTAATGTTTATATAAAATTATTTATTTGTGCCTGCAACGTTTGACTGGGATACTTAATTTTAAAAAATTTTATTTCTATTCAATTCCTATTATTCTCCTATTTAAAATATCTCTTGTAAAGAAGGTATACAAAATAATGTTAAAATTACCATTTTCCTTGGGTGATATTTGAATTGGAAGCATTGGAATAAATGACCAATTAGAATTTGTAGAGGAGGTTATGTTTTCTTTGATTTATTAATACTTTTTTATTTTTTATAATTTGCAAAATTTATGACTAGTCTATAGATGTTTAATACTAGGGTTTTTTTTTCTACTTTAAGAAAAGAAATAACCAATTATTCAATTATTTCCAGTGGTGTTTTTGTGTTCTGTGTTTCCAGGCGGGCACATGAACGCCCCCCACCCCATCCACATAGGATGCACCCAAACTATGGTCATGGGCATCATATTCATGTGCCTCAAACTATGTCCTCACATCCTCGACAGGCTCCAGAGAGGTCTGCCTGGTCAGTATCTTGTTTAATTTCAAAGCAATACTTAGCAGCTTGTGGTGAAACTATTGGAAGAGATGCTTTGTGATGAATTGCCATGCAGAATGGTGATGTGGAGAAAACTAATCCCCAGTTTCACTGTGAGACACTGCCTCTGGGCAGATAGAGATTTGGAGGAAACAGCAGGAGCTGGGGCAGGGAACCATGTCAAGCAGGAATAGAACTTTTTTTTTTTTTTAGGTGTTCTTTTATGTTTAATTGACAAATAAAAATTGTATATATTTTGGAGGAACCACATACTTTAGTACATGTATACATCGTGAAATGATCACATCAGGCTAATGGCATATTTATCACCTCAAATATTTATCATTTCTTTGTGGTGAGAAAGTTTAAAATCTTCTGTTTTCACAGTTTTGAAATAAACAGTACATTATTATTAACTGTAGTCACCTTGCTGTGCAGTAGAATATCAGAAATTTTTCCCCCTAGCTGAAGCTTTGTGTCCATTGTCCAACATATCCCCTTTCCTCATCCACGAGCCCCTGCCCCTGCCCCCTCCCCAACCTCTGGTAAAGAACTTGCTTATGAGTTCTCATGTCAGTAAGAGGAGTAGAGCTTTTTTCCCGTTTTTCAGGGGTGCCACCAAAGTTAACTCCCTAGACTGATCCTGCTTTTCACATCTTTAACTGACCCCCACCTTCGTACTCAGATTGCTCCACCACCCTCACCTGCTATTGACAAGGGAAATTCAGCCTTCATTCTCCTAGACTTGTGATCTTCCCTAGAGAGATGAAAGCGGATTTTCATTAAATTTTTTTTCCTGAATTTATTGTTTGTGGGCATTCATTGAGATCTTGAACCATAATGACTTTTGAGGCAGAACATAAAATGATAATAAGTAAATGAAGATTTAGCAGGTAACAGTTTTACCCCTTCTCAAATTCTGTTTACCCTTGTTTTATAAAATGTGGAAGAGTTTGCTGTTGTAACTGTTCTTAATGTCAACAATCAAGAGATTATATCTAACAGACAAAAACCCAGAGATCATCTGTAGCATTCAGATACACGAAAAAAGTAAATGCTATGTTGTCTGCTCCTCAAGTACGATCAGGCTTTTATCTTGGAATGGACCTTAGTAGCCATTCATTGTATTTCCTTTCTTTGTAAGATGTGAAAGCAAGTACAAATACTTTACTTCTCATTGTCACAAAATTTAGGTTTTCTGAGCTTTTAGTTCTGAAATAAATTTGAAATTAAATATTTTGGGCTAAATTATCTTTCCTCAGCTTTGTAAGTTAAGAAACCTTAGATTACTTTTTTAAGTGTAAACATAATTCCCCATTTCTGTTGATGATAAAGGGACCCTAAGGAAGGTTAAACTGTTCTCATCCTCTTGTCAGGGAGCTGGGAATCGAAGCTGGAGTGACTGCAGCTACTTACACACCTGGTGCATTGCATCCTCACTTGGCCCATTATCACGCACCTCCTCGACTTCATCACTTGCAATTAGGAGCTCTTCCTTTAATGGTAAAATGGAAAATCTGCAAAATTCTGACATGTTCTAAAAGTTCATTTTCTAAATTAAATATTTTATTGGAAATATTTTCCTATATTAGTTATTATAGGTGGTGTAATAGAATTTGAGAGTAATCTTGTTAGCTAAAAATTGTGCTGTAAAAAGGTATTAGATGTATTAAAATCTGTGTAATTTTCATTGTAAAATGTACTCATAATGTACAGAATGACAAAAAGTATGAGTTTTTTGGTATACCAAGATACTCTTTATCCACTGTCAGGAGTATACTGTGCTTCAGTTATTTTGCCATAGTGGTAATAGGTCTGTTCTGATGCAGTCATACTTGGTTTTCTTTTCTCTCTCTCTCTCTCTCTCTCTCTCTCTCTCTCTCTCTCTCTCTGAAAGCTGTTGATGAGACTTTCAATTCTTTTTTTGAAATGAAGCCTCAGTCTGTTACCCAGGCTGGAGTGCAGTAGTATGATCTGTGCTCCCTTCAACGTCTGCCTCCCAGGTTCAGGTGATTGTCCTGCCTCAGCCTCCCAAGTAGCTGGGATTACAGGCACAGGCCACCATGCCTGGCTAATTTTTGTATTTTTAGTAGAAATGGGGTTTTGCATTGTTGGCCAGGCTGGTCTCAAACTCCTGTCCTCAAGTGATCTGCCCCGAAGTGCTGGGATTACAGGCATGAGCCACAGCACCCAGCCTGATTTTCTAATCTGCAGAAAGATTTACTAATTCTCTACATCTGATTTAAGCAGGTTCAGATTTTGTGAAGTAAGTGCTAAAGAACAAGTTCAGCAAACCATATATTGCATTTGCTATTTGTATTACACACTTGTGTAAGTGATACAGAAAAGAAATAGTTTTGTGTTGTTGTGGGTAGAGGTGCTGCAGGGAAGCTTTGAGAGACGCTTTCTGGTACACGTGATTTCTAAGCAGACTTTGGATTTTGGAATCGTGCCCTTGCAGAGGTTACACCATGTAAAAAGATGTAGCCAATAGCACAAGCACTGGGAACTCCAAGTAAGCCGGTGTTTCTAATCTTAGGAGTGAGGGTCAGGCAGCAGGGAGAAATTGTTCTAGCACGAAACTGGAACTCAGGAACCATTGAAGGGGAAATGTCCTGATCAAATTTATGATTTCAGAGTGATTTATCAGATTATAGTTAGAAAAATCACCTCCTCAGTTATGTGGAAAAATAGATTTAAATGTGGGAAACCAGTGAGGACATTCCAGTAGAAGAGGTAGGTATCGGTGAATGCTGGAATGAAGGCAATCATAGTTGGCATAAAAATGATGGGACACGTTTGAGAAATATTTAGGGCGACTCCCAGATTTCTAGTTTGTGTTAAAAAGTAATGAGAGTGGTTATTGGTGTCTTGTGTCAGAATGGCTTAATAATGGTGAGTGATGCAGGTAAGGAAGTGAAAACACGGAGACGCTGAATACAGACTGCTTGCTTCATAAGCTTCACTGTGAAGGGAAAATGAAGGAAACACTAATTTGGTGGCGGTAATTCCAGGATTAGTGGAGAATTTCGGTTTGGAGAAACTTAAAGTTATTTTTAGATTTAAGACCGAAAACCGTTAGAGAGGAATTGTTTGAAGATACTGAAGAGATACTTGGTGTGGAGTAATTAAACATGATCCGTGGTGAACAGGTGAAGGTAGGAGCAGGTGGTAAGGATAGAGTTTGAATAGGAGAAAAGCTTAGCCCTGAAAGCTAGAGGAACAAGACTAGGGAGGAGAGGGTTTTCAGGGTAAGTGAACATTCATTTAATTTGGGATGCAGGAGTTTCTTTCTGATTTTTTTGAAGATGTTTAGGAGGTTGGGTTATCTGCTTATTAATATTGATCTTGGTTATGAGAAAACTTGTAAGTAATTTAAGTAATAGGCTATTGAAGGTTAAAAGTTATTGGTAAATTCTTTCACACATTTGAAGTGTCCGTGAAAGCTTTAAATTCTGCTTGAAGTGTGCTGTGATTCAGTGTAGGCTAATTAAAAAGTGATGTCGGAGATTTAGGTATAAAGAGTTAAGAACGGTGCTGTGTCTCAGAATCCCCTTTCCTAACACTCAGTGCGCATGGCAGTTGTGATGTATACAGTTGCCGGGAACTCTGAGTTAGCAAATGTGAGACCATACTCCTAGGAGAAGTACAAAGTTATCTTATTGCAAGCCTCTGTTCACAACTAAATCAGTATATGACCTTTTTGTGTGTGCATTTCTGTGTAAAGACAGCTTTAAAAAAATATTTTAGAAACATTAACATTGAGCTCATAGCGAACAACACTGTAACTCATGCCTGAATGAAACTCTCTCCATGAGGTGTATCACAGCCTTCTTGTCTTAGGAACACTAGGTAGCACTTCTGCTTTATGCTTGGGGGCCATTTTAAACAACAAGATCACCAACATAAAGCATGAAACTGTGAAAAACATGGCAATAAACAGACTGCAGACAAGACACTTGTTTAGAATAGGAGCTCAAATACGACAGGGCCCTGTGCTGCCTCAGCTGGGAGCAGAGTTGCATGTTGGTTAACTCAGATTTTTTTGCCACCGGGTATATCCCCAAATGACTCTGAAAGCACAAGTGTTGATTATGGGTTACAGATAAATTTTAGCCTGTGGGTCATTTCACGCATATGTAATCCATAAATAATGGAGATTGAATATACCTAACAAAAAACTAGAAAACAGTGTTAAAACTTTCACTATTAGAATCAAGCAAAAAAAAAAAAAAGGCATCAGGTCCTCTGGCTGTTAGGAAGCTAAACGGAAGTGAAATAAAAACTTGAAGTGAAATTTTGTTGGAAAATTGTGTGCACTTCTGTTGTTTTAATATGGTCTCTGAAATTGACAGGATCTTAAGACAATTTTGCTCTTTTCGAGCTACTAAGAGCATCAGGGTTAAGTTTGGGCATTTTGGAGAGTTAGGTTATATTTTAAGAGAAATCTAATCTTGTCCAACTAAACTACGAAGTCTTTGTTGGAGTTACCTATGCTTATTGAAGTTGAATTTCATGGGCAGTCAAATGGTAAACATTGAAGGCTTTGAATTAATGTTAGCAGTAAACCACAAGTCTGTTCTTAATTGATGGAGCCTATCTCTTCTGTTGAAATAGGTTCCTGATATGGCAGGCTATCCTCACATCCGTTACATTTCATCAGGATTGGATGGGACATCATTCAGAGGTCCTTTCAGGGGCAATTTTGAGGTATGTGATAAAGTAAATGAATATATTTGTCACAGTATTTTTTTTTCTTTCATCAGCATTTTCGCAAGCATGTCACAGTATTTTTAATGCAGAGAGTATATATGTGCTATTAGTGTACACAATTGTGTAGGACTGCTGCAGTAGCTGAGAATTACAAGGCAGTAACATGTCTGATTTTCTGAGGTTAATTCTAGGACTTACAGAAAGATTTATGAGTAATACTAATCTTAGGGTCAAAAGTTACCCAGGTATTTAAAGATGAGTAAATGAAAATATCTAATATAGAAGTATGTAAAAATGCATTAAATAAATATAAATATCAGATAAGTAACCATACCATTAAATATGAGGGGGAGGCTATTTTTTGACTCAGCTAAATTTTTAGAGAAATTAGTAGAGAAAAGGAATCCTAAGTAATTCCCTTTGTAGCTAAATGTCTTGTTTGAATTTTCAGGAAGAACAAATCATTCAAATGTGGTTTAAAGTTTTTTATGTCAGTTTGGAAGTTGGAGTCAGTATGACTTAAAACTTTTTATTTTATTTTTTTGTTCATTTATTTTTTCCAAACCACAATTAACTTCTGCAGACTTAGAACTACTATATGATTTGTCTCTTTAATTTACTAGAATGATTTCATCTTCTACATGCATACATACATACTGACTCATGTAGTACCATGTGGTAATATTGTTGTAATTTATAAAGATAACTTGAGCTGTCCCATTTCAGTTGGCTGAGGAAAACATAAACAACCATTTGCCTTACTGTGTATGAGAAACATTAAGCCAGGCGTGGTGGCTGACACCTATAATCTCAGCAGTTTGGGAGGCTGAGGTAGGAGATCACTTGAGGCCAGGAGTTTGAGACCAGCCTGGGCAACATATAAACTTCTATATAGACTTACTTAAGTATGTAAATAACTGCTTGTGTTGTCATATGTAAGTTTTTTTGAACACTGTATTTATATTTCCAGTTTCTAATTATGGAAGTTTATTTCTTTTACAATGTTGACAATACTGTGCAAGGAATAATCATCCTGACTTTTACTACTAGTTATGCTTCACTTGCAGGAACTGATTCATTTGGAAGAAAGATTAGGAAATGTCAATCGTGGAGCATCCCAGGGCACAATTGAAAGATGTACATATCCACATAAATATAAAAAGGTAAGAATTTATTCTATGAAGCGTCTAGAATGTTTATATATACCTTCTTTGAATTTGTAGTCTAGCAGTGACATTTTTATTGAAGCAATACATACATATTATTTGAATAATTTGGAAAGTATAAAAAATAGATATACCCTGCAGTTTCTTACTCTGCAGACCGTAGTCCTTCTTCCCGGCAGTGAAATCATAGTTAAGGATGTAGATATTCTTCCAGATACTTTTCAGCGTTTTCTAATCATGTGCATATGTGTATATATTTTGTCTACTTTAAAAAAATAACATGAAGGAGATAACCACACAGTTTGCAGATTGCCTTCATGCCGTATTAGCTCCCACAGATCACCCTTGTCGTAAGCTTATACAGAATTCCGTCATAGGACAGTGCTGTCATTTTTTTAACTAGCAATTTATTTTGAGGGACATTTTATTGATTTTTTCCTCCTCTGCCCTCAATTTCTTGCATAGTATTATACAATATCTGGAAGTTATGGAGTAGACATGTTAACTAAGTGTCTTATAACAAATAATGCTCAGTGCTAATAGTGCTCACCTTTTTTGGCACCACGGACCTATTTTAATGAAAAACAGTTTTTCCGTGGGTAGGTGGTTGGTTTCATAATGAAACTCTTCCACCTCAGATCATCAGGTATTAGATTCTCCCAAGGAGCATGCAACCTAGACCCCTCGCATGCGCAGTTTACAATAGGATTCATGCTCCTATGAGAATCTAATGCTGCCGCTGATGTGACAGGAGGTGGAGCAATACTCGCTCACCTGCCACTCTCGTCCTGCTGTGCAGCTGGATACTGGTTTGCAGCCCAGGGGTTGGAGACTCCCTATGCTATGCAGAGAATAATCATAAAGCATGAAAATTACTATTCTTTGTATTTTTCATCTATTTTCTGAGAGTACTGAGGTATTACAGTACATTCAAGTTTTCAGCTCTCCAAGCTAAATACTGTAACTAACATTAACCTAATGGATGTTATTTGAAACATTCACTAGTAAAATAAAACTTATCTATGCTCATGATAGGATAAAAATAGAGTTTATTTTGTGTGTCATTCTCATTGTTGATTAAAAGTAATAGTTTTCAAGTGAATGAATTTCTGTTAAGTTTGATTTTGCTTTTGATCCCGATTGTTAGAGGGTCTTAAAAGTATACTTAATTGATGATAGTCGTTTAATTTATCCGTTTATTTACGACAGTCTTACCTGGGAAATAAGTGTGGGTGAATATGTGGTTTTGTTTTTTGTTTTGTTTTTCAAGTAAACACAGACTTTACTCAGTTGTTCAATAATGTCATCTCTACTAATAAGGTAACAACTGATTGGTTCTCACAGAGGAAACTGCACTGCAAACAAGATGGGGAAGAAGGGACTGAGGAAGACACAGAGGAAAAGTGTACTATCTGTTTGTCTATTTTAGAGGAAGGTGAAGATGTGAGGTAACTAGATACTAATTATCTAAAATCCATTGTCAAAACCGTGCAGGGGATTTTATTTGAAAAGTAGATTAGACCAGGCATGATGGTTCACACTTGTAATCCCAGCACTTCTTGAGGCCAAGGCCAGGCCTCAAGTTTGAGGCCAACCTGGGCAACACAACAAGACTCTGTGTCTACAAAAAAAAGGAAAATAGAACAATTACTTATATGTGATGGTGTGAACTTATATGTGATGGGTAGTCCCAGCTACCCAGGAGGCTAAGGCAGGAAGATAGCTCAAGCAGGAGTTTAAGGCTGCTGTGAGCTATGAGCATACCACACTGTATTCCAGCCTGGGCAACGGAGTGAGACTCAGTCTCTAGAAAAAGAGGGTAAAAAGCCAAACAAAGGTTACTCTTCCATATACCGTTATCATCTATAGCACGTAGAAACGGCTTCATCTCGTGAGTGAGACAATGAAAGATTAGCGTCTCTGTGTCACCAACATGGGAGTGGGAAATATAGTGCCTATTTTAGGGCCATACGAGGTTTTGCCAGGGAAATTTTGTAGTCAAAATTGTCTTGTGTAAATCTTGCAGAAATGAGAATTTGAGTGGCTTTGGAGGTCCTGGAAAGTTGTTAAAATGTATTCCCACAACTTAAACAGGGATTCAGATCAGCCCTATGCAGTTTGTTATACAGCATCTTTTTTTTTTTTTTTTTTTTTTGAGATGGTCTCTTTCTGTCGTCCAGGCTGGGGTGCAAGGGAGCAATCTCAACTCACTGCACCCTTCACTTCCTGGCTGAAGTTCTCTAAACTAGTAGAACTATTCCCTTCTTGCACCTTTGTAGTTTAGAAAATGTTAGTATGCTAAAAAACAAAAATAAATTAAAATAAATTAAAAAGAAAAAAAAAAGAAAATGTTAGTATGCTAATCCTATATTAATTTTAGGCATTTTCTTTGTTTTCCTATTTTTTTAATGTAACATAATGCCATACTAAACAGGTTCTATATCATATATAATAGAACCATGTTAATTATTGCCCTAATTTATAAAGATAATTTTGTCATACTACTTCAGTTGGCTGAGAAAAAAAAATATTGTCTACCATTCCACAAATAAGGTTATTTGCATACTGTATTTCTAATGACGGTTTATAAATGTGGAAGTTAATTGCTTTTACAGTATTGACAATACTGTTCAGGGAAAAATTGGGACACTTTTTTAAGCTACTATTTTAGCAAACTATTAGAAAGTCTGAAAGGGTATAACAACTCTTAACAGTTGATAGAAGTAGAAATGGACACGAGTCAGTAACTTTTATCCACTGTTAATGCTCAGATTTAATGTTACCCTGTCTTGGTTGGAGGCTCTATTTCTCAATTTCTAATGGACAGTTTGGCACGATGCAAACAAACTAAAATCATTATGTCTCCTTTTAACCTACCTGTTAAGCAGTGGCACAGTGCTAAGTGTATGTAACAATTATTCCGTGAAAAGAGTATGACTCCCCTTTAATCAGTTACGTTCTTAAGTTTAATGTATAAAGATCTTCTTGACAGAAAATAGCTTTGCACAGTAAGACATTTCTTAGTGTGGAGAGCATAGTTTCTCTCTATTTGCCACATGAATTCTAATGTTTTTGAGAGACAATTAAATGAGATAACAAATACGTATTTGAGATAATATGTATTTTTAAAGGGCATTACAAACACAGTGATGATTTGATAATTAAAAATATACTTGCACTGTTATGTGGCCAGTAATGTACTGCTAACTTCAGTGCATTGGCAGCTCCTGTACCAAAACCAAACTGGAATAATTGCCGTTTTAATTTGTGTTCTTACAATTTTCAAGATTTTACATAATTTTGTTCTGTAGCTTTGAAAGTTATCTTGGTCATTTATATATTATATTGCCAAGAGTGCTAATTTAATCTATGTGTTCCTTTTTTTTTTTGAGACGGAGTTTTGCTCTTGTTACCCAGGCTGGAGTGCAATGGCGCCATCTCGGCTCACCGCAACCTCCGCCTCCTGGGTTCAGGCAATTCTCCTGCCTCAGCCTCCCAAGTAGCTGGGATTACAGGCAAGCGCCACCATGCTGAGCTAATTTTTTGTAATTTTAGTAGAGATGGGGTTTCACCTTGTTGACCAGGATGGTCTCGATCTCTTGACCTCGTGATCCACCCGCCTCGGCCTCCCAAAGTGCTGGGATTACAGGCTTGAGCCACCGCGCCTGGCCTCTATGTGTTTCTTTATAGAAGAGGAAGATGCTTAGTAACTTAAAACATTATTGAATTATTACATGTATAATTTGTTAAGTACAGCCTGCAGTTATTATAAAATTAATTTTTGCTTTTTGTTTTCTTGCCAATAATAGACGTCTTCCATGTATGCACCTTTTCCACCAAGTGTGTGTTGACCAATGGTTGATTACCAATAAGAAGTGCCCCATATGCAGAGTGGACATTGAGGCCCAGCTGCCAAGTGAAAGTTGACACCATGTTTCTGAACTCTTGCCCTCCCTCTCATTCCCATTTTTCCTGGTACTGCAGTCAACCAAAGATGGCATGACTTACCTGCGCAGATTTGGAAGCATTGAACTTAAGAGTGCTGGCTCTGCTATATGGTACAACTAATGCTAGACCTTCAGTTTATGTATACAGTTGATTTTGTTGTATTTATGAAAGCTTTTTTTTCCCTAGATTTGACATTTTTCCTGTATCATTTTACTGTATTTTTGCATGGTTCCTTGTATTGCATTTCTTTGCACATATTATGGGCTTGTGACCCTAAACTTGCAGGCAAGATTAGCTGCTTTAGTAAGTAGAATTTTGTGGTATTTTTGTTTTTTTACATAGTACCAAGCCTTGATAATTATGAATTTTTTATCCATTACTAACCTTTAATTTAATCAACCATGTACTTTAGTTTAATGTATAAAGATCCTCTAGAAAATGATAATATTGTGTATTAAGACATTCCTTAATTAGGACAAAATGGCTGCTGTATATTTACTATATGGAGTTCTGAGTTAAATACCACCCTTAATACTGGGAACAGAACACAACCCACATTGAATCAGATGCAGGTGGTCGTCACATCACCAGAGAGATCAGTATAAACTTTCTTGGTGTATCCTTTTCCTTTCAACACGATGCAGATAAGAGTTGAATATTAATATCATACATTTAGACTGCTGTTCTGATTGCATTTATCTTTTTCCTACATCATTTAAAATTTTATTTCCCTGTTTCAGTTTTTGCTGCTGTGAAACAGCTCCGATGAACACTAAATATTAATTTCAGTTAGCTAGATTGTACATACTTGCAGATTTAACAAAATTTTAGGGAAATTGAAAAAGACATGTAGAATTTGTTGTCTTCTGCTAAGCACGAGAAGTTAAGATATCTGCTTATATTGATTTTGTAGATACATTAAGTTAAGATTTGGAATTTAAGTCTTTGGCAGGTATCTGTGCATCCATAGAACTTCTAAAGGTCCCAGGGTCACTTTTAAGGGATTTTTATTAGTTTAAAGATAAATAAAGTCAGCTGAATCTACATGTCTCTTGTTTTATTTCTCTCTAAACTTGAAAACAGTAAATCTGCAGATACTGTGAGGCACAAATTATACTGTCAACCTACTGTTGCTATGGTTATATACTCCCACTTCATACATTACCAAGAGTCGATCACTGATTTAAAGTGTTTAATTTCTGTAGTTAAGATTTACTGCGTAATATAGAATATAAAGTTAACATACTAACATTTCTCCTTTGGAGGAAGTTTTAATCCACTTCAGGATGCATATTATTATCAAGATACTTTCATATACAGGATAGCCTAATTTTATTTGTTTAAATATACTTAATATGCCCCAGATTGCAAATGCATCCAGTCAGTAATATCACTGTCTGTATGTGGAGGACATGTTCCCATGGATCATATGTGAAGATGTCAGTAAGCTTGCATTAAGCCACCTGCTTTGTAAGTGGATTGATTAATAAATAACTTATATTTCTATTGTCTTTGTGTTTCATAATTAGTTTTTATAAAAACAGTTTACATTAAACATCTTGGAATTCAAAAACAGTGATCTCACTCAAATTGACATTTGCATAATTTGACATTTATATTCATTCAGTTATGACTACTTGCCCTTTTTTATATTAATAAATGTTGCAGTTATCAATGTTAACATGCTTCGACGTAGTGTGTGTGCAGATGTACGATGGGTTTAAAAAGCATAACTTAGGATTAAACTGAGGTTGTAGACGGTCAGGGAAGAGTGAATGAGGGAGTGACCTCTGGGGAAAAGAGCAAGTAGCCTATCTTCTTCAAGTAAGTAGCCTGCGGTGGATGTGGTACTTCGCCACTGGAAAACCCTGGATCTGTGCCAAGGGATTGAAGAAGTGTAAGATGGGGAAAACTGTATGCCGTGGAGTCCTCTCGATGTGCCCCCAAATATAAGTAAAGCACAGGTGGATTTCTCTATTTTTGAATGTAACATCAGATTTAGATGCACGACTACCTGTTGACTTGTTTTATAATTGCTACTGATTTTTTTAAAATGTAGGCAATGCATTGTTACTTTAAAATTTATTTAATAAAAGTATTTGTGACATAAACCTAGATTGTTAATATAGGAGCTTATTAAGCTATTGCCATTAGTTACCCAAGAGTGTGATAATATTGAAAGGAAGGAAGAAAACGACTTTGAACATTTTCACTTTTTGTGCTTTGTTCTGGGGTCTTCCATATCCTGCCGCATCTTTTATGTCAAAATGAGCGTTTCAGTGATAGCTGTCCACGTACGTAGAAACTAAAATTCTTTTGTCAGCACATCCTTATTTTTATTATTGTTAATATGCAAGTGATAAACTGATGATTTGAAACCTTTTTCTTACTCTGGTGACTTTATTTTAGCTGCTAGCACACTTCAGCATTTGACCCATAACAGTTGACTTAGAGAAAACTACTTCTGTTTTAAAAACTGTTAGCAACTAGTTCAAACAGTGCAATTAAAATATAAGGTCTTGAGGACATTTTATTATTAATGTTTCGTAAGTGGGAAGTTTAAATCTGTAGAAAATACATCCTAGTTTCTAACTTCCAAAACCTCTGGAAACACAGTATATGCGTGTCACACACACACACAAATATAGATATACTGTGTTGTTATATATATATGGTTATGATGTTGTTGTTTTTGAGACAGAGTCTCTCTCTGTTGCCTAGGCTGGAGTGCAGTGATGTGATCTCGACTTACTGAAACCTCCGCCTCGTGAGTTCAAGTGATTCTCATATCTCAGCCTCCGGAGTAGCTGGGATCACAGGCGCACGGCACCATGCCACTGTGGCCAACCAGTGTATATATATATATGTATTTTTATTATTGAAAACTTCGCATGTCACAGTATTGGATATGTCTTTTTCTGTCAGTCATAGATATTTTCTTAAGAATAGTATACAAGACCGGGCGTGGTGGCTCAGGCCTGTAATCCCAGCACTTTGGGAAGCAAAGGCAGGTGGATCACCTGAGGTCAGGAATTTGAGCCCAACCTAGCCAAATCCCGTCTCTACTAAAAAATACAAAAATTAGCTGGGCGTGGTGGTGTTTGCCTATAGTCCCAGCAATTTGGGAAGTTGGGACAGGAGGATCACTTGAACACAGGAGGCAGAGGTTGCAGTGAGCTGAGATCGCGCCACTGCACTGCAGTTTGGGTGACAGAGCAAGAGTCTGTCTCTGAAAAACATACATATATATATATATATATCTCCGAAACGATTATGTTTTTACTAAGAAAAATGTTACCAATTATATTCAATTATATTTTGTCATTTTGGCCGGCTGGACTTCAGGATAGTCTTTTCTCTTCTATATTCTATACGAAATCATAGACCAGACATTTTTTAGAGTAGTATGAAGAATATAGACTTTGGAGTCATTCATATTTGGAGTTTGAATTGTGCAAATTTGAATAACTCAAAATTAAGCCCTCCGAGACTAAATTTTTTCATCTACCAAATAGAACTAAAACCTGCTTCTCAGGTGATTAGGATTAAATGAGATAATGAATTTAAAGGGCTTTGCACATAGTACATATGTAAGAATATCAGCTTTTCCTATGCTGGCTTCACCCCACCACTCAAATACCTTTGCTTTCGATAACAAGTGGCACTATAGCAAGGTGCTGGACCACAGATTAGTTTTTGGCTGCTAATTTCACTTACACTGATTGCAAGCAACTCATTACTAAATAAACATCTCTCCAGCTTTTACCTCATGTGTTGGAACTTCTCATTATCTATAGGGATGGAAGATTCCCAGCACATGTGCTTTCTTTCCCTTGCTTTGCAGTCACAGGAGGACAGTTACCGTCAATACCATCCAGTGCTGTGCTTTAGGCAGCTAGTGGATTAGAAGTGGCACAGGCCATGGAATCATTTGCCCTCTCTGAACTAAAATTAATTTTTTTTGAGGGAAATTACCATCTAAGGCCGGGCGCGGTGGCTCACGCCTGTAATCCCAGCACTTTGGGAGGCCAAGGTGGGTGGATCACGAGGTCAAGAGATCAAGATCATCCTGGCCAACATGGTGAAACCCTGTCTCTACTAAAAATAACAAAAATTAGCCGCGTGGTGGGGCGCACCTGTAGTCCCAGCTATTCGGGAGGGGGTGCGGAGGCTGCGGTGAGGCGAGATCCTGCCACTGCACTCCAGCCTGGTGACAGAGCAAGACTCCATCTCAAAAAAAACAAAATCTCCTTTTCGGCCAGGCGCGATGGCTCACGCCTGTAATCCCAGCACTTTGGGAGGCCGAGGCGGGTGGATCACAAGGTCAAGAGATCGAGACCATCCAGGTTAACATGGTGAAACCCCATCTCTACTAAAAATACAAAAAATTAGCTGGGCACGGTGGCGTGTGCCTGTAATCCCAGCTACTCGGGAGGCTGAGGCACATTCTATTTCTTAGAAATGACAGTCACTAAGGGTTGCCTATACTTGAGTTGCTGAACTAGGTTCCACCATTTGGAGAAAGGAGTAGCCAAGGATTTGTGTACATATTTTGAAAACACTCTTATCCCATGTCAATACCCAGCTTCTAACATGTAAACTTCTGTGTGCAAAAATTCTTTTTTTTTCTGAGATGGAGTCTCACTCTGTCACCCAGGCTAGCGTGCAGGGTGCGATCTTGACTTATTGCCAGCTCCGTCATTCTCCTGCCTCGGCCACCTGAGTAGCTGGGATTACAGGAATGCACCATCACGCCTGGCTAAAGTATGCATTTTTGGTAGAAACGGGTTTCACCATGTTGGCCGGGCTGGTCTCGAACTCCTGACCTCAAGTGATTTGGGGTAAAAATGCTATCAGACTGCCCTCAGTGCTTCCCAAGGCTTTCAGTTACATCTGATCCACGGTTCAACACCAGATGATTTCGTGTGCACGCAGGAAACAACCAAATGCCAAAACATCTTGACATGACGAAGGCAACTCAAATTTCCCGTATGAAAAATCTGCCAGGAGAACATTACTGAGAATTTAGAGTTTACAAATGATCATAAGTCACAGCTACTTTGCTATGTTTTCTTAGAGTGTGATGACCGTACAAAACCGAGATGATAAGACTTCCAAAAGGCTTATTGGTGCAAGGATTAGGAGTACCCCCAGGTAAGTGTATTTATCCTGTTTTGTAAGCACCCCCACATCGAGTGGGTTTTAAAACACATTGATTTGCTCACGGTTGTGTGATCTGGGCAGTGCTGGGCAGGCAGCTCATTTTTTTACTGTGGTATGATGTGTTCCTCACGTGGCTGCATTCAGCTCCGAGTTGTACTGAGACAGAGTGTCTGTCCACTGGGCATCACCCTGGTTACGTGATACATTAGTTGTGATGGTTGGGGACAGGTGATGATGCCTTGGGCATTTATCTCAATGTCGTTTCTAGAAAGCAGTAGCTCGAGTCCCTTTAAGGTGGTGATGTAGGACCCCAAGGGAAGAAGAAAGCGCTTCCTCAGACCCAAGCCTGCTACTGGAACAGAATCACTTCTGTCACATTCTGTTGATCAAAGCAAATGGGAAGGCTAGCCCAGATTTAGGGAGAGAGAAAACAGCTGACACCTCTTCACAAAACGGATAGCAAAAAAAGAAGAAAAGTGGCAGTCTTTAATCCACCACAGTCAGATAAAACAAGCCCCACTGGCTGGACGCGGTGGCTCATGCCTGTAATCCCAGCAGTTTGGGAGGACAAGGCAGGCAGATCATGAGGTCAGGAGATGGAGACCATCCTGGCCTACATGGTGAAACCCCGTCTCTACTAAAAATACAAAAATTATCTGGTTGTGGTGACTCGTGCCTGTAGTCCCAGCTACTTGGAAGGCTGAGGCAGGAGAATCGCTTGAATCTGGGAGGCGGAGGTTGCAGTGAGCCGAGATTGTGCCACTGCACTCCAGCCTGGCGACAGAGCAAGACTCCGTCTGAAAAAGAAAAAACAAAACCAAGCCCCATTGTTTTGTTAGAATACCTAGTAGAATACAAGCTTTCTGAACACATTCACTTTTCCCCCCAAAATAAAGCTTTGCATATAGAGAAGCCCATGTGCACAATGATGTACGTTCTCAGAAGAATCAGCGGTGAAGGAACTTTCGGTTTCCCATGGTGATATTTGGAAAAAAGAAATCTATGGATGTGCAGTGGTGGCTCATTCCAGCACTTTGGGAGGCTGAGTCAGGAGGATCACTTGAGCTCAGGGGTTTGAGATCAGCCAAAGTAACGTAAGTGAGACCCCCATCTGTATAAAGCATTTAAAAATCAGCCAGCCATGGGGGCTCACACCTATAGTCCCAGCTGCTTGGGTGGCTGAGGTAGGAGGATCACTTGAGCTTGGGAGACTGAGGCTGCCGTGAGCCATGATCACACCGTTGCATTCCAGCCTGGGTGATAGGGAGACCCTGTCTCTAACAACAAGTTTGTGTATAAGGTTTTAGGTTAGTTGCATTGAGAAGTACAAAGCAAGAACACTATCTTC